CAACCAGCTGACATGATCTCTGAAATGAGAAAAACAAGAGAGAATCAGAAATGACATTACAACATGGTACATGTATGGCAAACACAATGAATTGTTTTAGCTGATAACCATGCGGGGCGTCTTAATAAGAGCATGGGCAACTAAGTGTGGAAGTGCCTTTGTTAATGCATTGTACAATAGCCTCATTGTCACAATGGGCAAAGATAGTAGAGGTGGGCATTCGTCCCTCCTACGGATGGCAGATTAATGGGAAATCTGCTCGTGTAGTGGTCCTAATGTACCTCTTGAAGACAGGGTAGGTGGATTTATAGTGGAGTTTAAACCCCTTGGTGATATAGAAATTGCTTAAAATGTATCTAACGCAGAGTCAATGGATGAAACATCAGACATGTCAGAAATGTCCTCCTCTCATTCGTGGAAGTCAAAGAGGGAAGTTTTGTTTCTTTGCCGGTTTCACATCTAACCGACTTGCCATTATAAGCTTATTGCTTTTAAGTGTATGGACATGAGTCACTGGGGAATATTACAATTGGACTTCTATGCCTAAGGCGTTGAATGTTTTTCAGTAGCAGAGAAAACTTTTTATAAGTTGAATTGCTATCAGATGTGGCAGTGTTGTTGTTGTTTTTTTTTTTTAGTGAATTGATTTATTTTAATTAGTTATTTATTTTATATTAATTTTCTTGATTTATACATTTTATAATTATTTATTTATGTATTTATTTATTTATCATCTACAAACATCAAACCCTGAACTTAAAATTAATGTCACCATTTAGTAGTAACTGTGTGAATGGAATGATAGTTATGGGCTTTACTTTAATCCAGAAATAGTATTACTTTGGAAACTTAGTGATAAAAATCACAAGCATATCTAATTCATTCACAAAGTCTTTGCCACAGGGTCCATTCATGAGCTTGTCAAGAGAGAGGGTGGGACCATCTCAAATTTTTGAGAGTTCATTGGATGGTGACGCTTCTCCTTTCGGCTATTGGCTCGAAGGAGTGTCAATCAAATTTGCAGAAAAAGGCTGGAGGCCATTTTGTTTGCCAGAGAAGTAGTGTTATGACTGGAGACGCTACTCAATTGAATGCACCACAGCGAGTAGTTTGGAGGATTAACATGGATGTTTATCAACGTATGAATAAGTTGTGGACTGGTGTTTTAAGGATTGGATTGCCTAGACCAGGGGTCTCAAACTCGCGTCCCGCGGGCCATTTGCGGCCCTCAGTGCAATATTTTGTGGCCCGCGCCGACCGCTGTACACTGACAGAATCAGCGGAGCGGGGAGAGAGAGCGCTTCCAGCTCCGCTGATTCTATCCGTACACAGCGGTCACTGGCATTCCCCGCCCGCCGTGTAAACAAAGGAGCGGGGATGCCGGTGACGTCACCACGCACCCCGCCCCTTTGTTAGACGCTGTGACGGGCGGGAAGAACCAAGGTAAGCTGTTCCCGCCCCTGCCTGCCACTCAGCTACATCCTGCATCTTACAGGGCTCGAAATTGCCCGAAAATTAATCTATTTATCAATTTTTATAATTAATGGTTGTAGTGCGACCTGTTTTGATTTTTTGTAAAAACATGCTGAATCGCTCTTCCCTGCCGCTATATTGGTTCATTTTAGCTGTCAATCACTCAAGGTATTCCGCTGTCAGATGACAGGGAAGGAGCTTTTATGACCACGGGAAATGCAAACGGCAGAAGAGTAAAAACTTAAAGCACACAGGTTTGCAAACCCCACCTAAAATTGAGGTGCAGATGAGAGCGATCATGACGCGTCACGTGGTGAATAATGATCCACCAGCTGAGATCAATCGAGTACGCGCTTCATGGAGAAGGCGCCCGAATCTCCATGCGTTGCATTCACTGCGTGTTCAGCGCAAATGTCCGCTAAAAGTCAAATCTAATACTGTACATATCATCGCCAAAGAAGCTCGCCTTTACTAAGTTTACACTGAAACTGCGTCTCATAACAAACAGCGGTATTCCGCCGGTGGTCATCGCAATAATCTTGCGCTGCCTGCTCATAAATTGGGTCGGCTGACTCGCCTGCTTTTCCACAAACACAGAAAAATGAAGATCATCTCAGACTGAACCTTTAAATTGACACAAACTGAAACCAAATCTTTTAAAGAGTGATAGAAGTGAGACTTTACTTTCTTTCTTTTGTCTATTCTTTTTTGAGGTGTATATTATTTTTATTTTTTATTTATTTACTGATGACTGGTTTGCAGCTTTCATCATTGAATTGAATGATTTATTATAATCTTTTGTTTGTTTTGTAGCAGAAATATTATTTATTAAATTGACATGCATATAAAAACAGCAGTACAAAATAAATATTTCTTACTGCAATGCTTCATTTTTGTTTGATGCAAACTATACAATTATTTTTTATAAAGTAACAGACTTTTTAGCAGATAACCTACATTCATGCACATTCAAGGCAGTATCATAATGAGAAATGTAATTCATTGTTACTATTATTGTCATTTTCATCATCATTAATATTCTATAATTATTAGACATTCATTTTGGAATTATTGCACACAAATATCAATGTCTTCGCAGCATTAGTTAGATAGTTTTTTCTGGATTTTGTCAGTCCTATTGATGTTGTTTTAAAATACAATAAATCCCTTAAAAAGCAATTTGCAGCTGTGCTCATTCATTTTTGGTGGATGCTCCTAAATCTTTTCTGGTGCTCCTAAATTTATTTTGGTGCTCCTAAATATTTGAAGTTGGGAGCACCGGTGCTACCAAGTAAAAAAGTTAATTTCGAGCCCTGTCTTATATATATTATAGGTAGATACAGACTGGTACAGACTGATGTGACTGGAGTGGGGTGGGGATGTTTTATTTATACATAAATACGCCTTTTTTTAGGTGAGGGAATGGAAGTTTTGAGTGAGTTCCCCCACTTTTTCCCCTAGGATTAGGTCTTTTTGGGAGCACATATTTGTGTGAGAAGTTATTCTCCTTGAACTTCAATAAGTCAAAGTACAGGTCTAGACTTAATGATGATCATCTTCAAGCCATACTGAGGGTCTCAACTGCTTCCGCTCTAAAGCCAAATGTGGTTCAGATTTGTGAGAAGAAGCGCTGTCAAGGAGTAGGCAAAAGATGCCATGTTCAGAAGAACTGTTCATAATCTTCACTCAATGTTCTATTAATGTTCAGGCCACTTCATGTTCAGAAGAAATAATTAAAACTGTTAATAATGACATTTGAGGACTTTTTTTTGTGAAATCCCTTATGCGGCCCAGCCTCACCCAGACTTTGCCTCCTGCGGCCCCCAGGTAAATTGAGTTTGAGACCCCTGGCCTAGACCCTTGATTGAGAGGTGAGTCATTCTATTCACGCTAAATTCATCCTTCAAAGATGAATGTTTAATCTTAGTTGTAGTTTGCAAGGCTTCCCTTTAAAAAGGTGTCATGTACGTTACTGCTGGTGCACCCCTAGAAGAGAGTTCAGCTTGGATTGCAGGCATCGAGTGTTTAGGCAGAGTTCATGGATGATGATCGAGTTTTTATTGTGATCTTGTTGGAGAATTGAGTTGAAGACACAGAGATTGCATTGTGTGAGGCAATTTGAAGTAGAAGGTTGAGAAGTTGTTGAAGTTGTGGTTGGTGAAGTTGTAGTTGGTGAAGTTGTAGTTGGAGAAGTTGTTGTTGTTGTTGTTGTTGTTGTTGTTGTTGTTGTTGGAGAAGTTGTTGTAGCAGCTGATGCAGAGCAGTGTATTCTTCAAATCGAAGTCACTGTAGTGAAAAAAAAAACCCTGGCTCTTTATAGTGGGTTAGGAATGGCCTGATTGGTGGATCATGCATGCTATTGCAGAATCAGCCGTGTTCAATCATAATCACGTGCTCCTCTCGAAATTAGTTTATGAATAAACTTTACTTCAAGAGTTCACACTTAGCTGATGATTGATTATAAGCAAGTTTGGCATGCTGTCCCGGGAGAGAGCCCTGAGCTCGAAGGTTCTTGAGCCCTGGGCTCCCTCCCGTTTGGAGGTAGAGAGGGGAGCCTCGAGCTCAGGTAGATCTCGACAACTCCCCTTTTTATAATAGCTAAAGATTAAGATTGAAGGCTATTAAAAGATATGCTGCATTATTAGATTACCTGTATTGAAATTTAAATTTAACGATTAACTTGTTGTACATGTTTTTGGAATGTGGGAGGAAACCGGAGAACCCGGGGAAAACCCACGCAAGCACGGGAAGAACATGCAAACTACACACAGAAACGACCATCGGCCTGTTAAGGAACTAGAACCGGTGACGTTCTTGCTGTGAGGCGACAGTGCTAGTCACTGAGCCACCGTGCTGCCCTATGGAGGGAAAGGTGAAAAGGTAGGGGTGGAAGGGGGGATTCTTCAAATCGAAGATGACTGTAGTGAGAAAACCCTGGCTCTTTATAGTGGTTAGGAATGGCCTGATTGGTGGATCAAGCATGCTAATACAGAACCAGCAGTGTTCAATCATAATCACGTGCTCCTCTCGAAATTAGTTTATGAATAAACTTCACTTAGTGTAGAGTTCCTCAGAAAACATTCTGTCAATTCAGTATGACATGTTGGTGGCATTATTCTATCTCTAATGAAAAGTGTTTCTCACCTCAGTCCAAACTGAATCATCCTTTTTGATGTTATTTTGTTCAAAGTGTGTAATCTTTGATTGCAAGCATCTACTTGTAGGCAAGTTTTTTTTATTTTATTAAATGAATAAATTTCATTTCTTACATTTGATTATTGCATTAAGTTATACCAAGGTACTGTAGGACTTGCAAATCAAATGAAATTATTTACAATTCAAAATTAGAACTAAACTAAATGTTAAATGTTTACATGGAAAGTAATATCAAAATATTTTTGATGATTTTATCTAATTGGACAAGTAAACACTTTTCCCTTCAAAAAAAAATCTGAAAAGGTGTGTTACTTCGGCAATTTTATTTAGTGCATTACTTCTAAAGCTAAAAGTATTTTTTCCTTTCACAGTTTTCTTGAAAATAAATCCTGGAAGATGGTCATAGGCTGAGATGAAAGGGACTCTTCTAAGACCTCGGATGTTCTAAATGACTTTAATCCTTGGAAAATGTGAGCTTTGTCCAAAGACACTGAACATTTGATTGCTGAAATTGGCATACAGAGAGGTAATGAACATACACATGGAGTCCTGCTTTTTGCAGTTCTCAACATCACAACATTCCTCCATGACTGATGGAATTTTTGATTCATGCTCTTCTCTTTAATAAAAAATGACAATAGCCTTGTTCCCTGGGTCTAGCTATACCATTTTTACATTCTGAAATGTTTTACTTATGAGGTTATTTTTATAAGGTAATTTTAATGAAGTACTGATATTGTATGTTTATACGCTCACAAGAAATTTGTATGTTCTTTGTAATTTTGTTTTTGGATGTGCATTTTTACCAAAGCTGCAGGCCTGTTTGTTTCAGATTCCCTGTTTATTGGTTTAAGAAGTAATAGTAAATGCAGAAAATAACAAAGGGAAGCGATTATACAAATATAAATTCATGAAATACTAACTTTTCATTCTGTGACATTTATTTTTGTTACCTGTTTCAATTTCAGTGCTTATAGTTTTCTTCTTTTGTAATAACTTAGTGAATATAATGTTAAAAAAATAAATGGCTTTGTGCACATTGTGTTATGATCGGGTAAGAGTAATGGAAGGACCCAAATTGCAAGTAAAAATAATTTATTGACCCAGTCAATATAGTATGACAAAGTCCAAAACCGGAAAAAATAAACAAACAAACAAGCTACGTATCCCACTCTATAGGGAATCAGAAAAACAGACGGGGACCGAGTAGCAAGGTCTCAGAAAGGGACTCCACGCTAGTCCTAAACACAAACAGAGAGATCAGCAGAGAAATAATGAACTGACACGAGACAAGGGACACGCTGCCCAGATATAGCTGAGTTAACGAGTCGCAGCTGGCAGGCTAATCAGGACAGCAGGACTCCACATAGCACGTGACAAAAACACTGACGTCAGACACACGTGGAACACCAAAACAAAACAAAACCATGTGACCAAAAAGACACTCAGAAGTGCGCACACACCTACAACCGTGACGCATTGTGCTTTATTTGTTGTTCTATGTTTGCAAAACTAAATTGGCTTTATAAAGAAATTTTAATGTACTCTTGCAAAATTTTATGGATAAAGTGTTTTTACAAATTTATGTTTCTATTTAAACTTTACTGAAGTTTCTGTATAATCATTTTAAAGAATAAGTAAATTGTACTGAGAATTTACTGTAAATTTATTGGATTTTTTTTTTTTTTTACGGAAGTTTTACAGAATTTTTCGTTTACAAACGAAGGAAATTTCTGTAAAAAAACAGGAAAATGTGCTGGTAATTTTCTGCCAGTACATTCTCTGTATTTTTACGGATTTCTTTTTTTTTTTACAGTGCGTTAGCTTACTACTTATATTTTAGCTTACATTTTATTCTAAATTAAAATGGCTGCAATCGAAATATTCATATTAATGTTGCTGTTATTCACTCCCATTACTCATACAACAATTTAGATTGAATACAGTGATCTAATAAACTGTACAGCAATATACTTTAGTTTTTATACAGTAAACTGTGGTGTATTGTAGTATAAAATACCCTGTAGTTGTAGAAATGTTGTGTTACCATAGCAACTATTCATTCATTCATTTTCTTTTCGGCTTAGTCCCTTTAATAATCTGGGGTCGCCACAGCAGAATGAACCGCCAACTTACCCAGCAAATGTTTTTCTCAGCAGATGCCCTTCCAGCCGCAACTCAACACTGGTAAACACCCATACACACTCTACGGACAGTTTTAATTTTCCCAATTAACCTGTACCGCATGTCTTTGGACTTGTGGGGGAAACTGGAGCACTCAGAGGAAACCCACGCAAACACAGGGAGAACATGCAAACTCCCAGCCGAGGCTCCAACCAGCAACCTTCTTGCTGTAAGGGTACAGCACTACCTACTGCTTCACCGCGCCGCCACCATAGCAACTATAGAACAGATTATTTCAATTACTTTACTATAGTATGGCTCAAAAAATATGACAAGATTTGCTATAAATTATTCTAGTATTGTTTCATGTAAGAACAAAATATTAGAACCTTATTTTCACCAGCTAAAATGATTTTGAGTCAGTTATTAAGTAATCTTTTGGTTTAGTGTGTCATTTTTGCTATTAATTGTAATAATGCAGTGTAATTTTTGTTTGACAGCAGCCGATGCTCCACGCAGAGATCAGATAATTCAGAAGAACTGAAGAACATCTTCCCAAGACATTTCAAGAAACCTGTCTGCAAAGCATTAGTAATAGGAAGGTTATAGGTTCATGTGCTGTAACACTGAGGTTGCTTTCAAAAATATTTCATCAGTGAACTCTAGTGTAAACTAAATTAAGTCAACATTTGTTGGCATTTTTAATAACTTTTTTTAGTCTTATTATTAGTTGTGTCTGTCTTCCACAAAATAAGGATGTACCACACTGCCAAACACTTAACACAACAATGTTTTGGTTAAAAGGGTTAAGATTGAATACCCAATACATTGATTGATGTATTGTACACACACACACACACACACACACAAAGACGAATGAAAAATTGCTCTGTATTAATTGGCTGATGGCCATGTTTTTTCATGTTATGCCACCTTAGAAAACTGGATAGCAAATTTCAAGTTGCTTGGACAAACGACAGCTTAGATACAGTGTTTTTCACTTAATATACATTTATAATTATGTCTAACACAAAAACACATCCACAAATAACAATGTTGACATGGAGAAAAAATAAACAGAAATCTATTATTTTAATAATAGTCATTAATCATGCTTACACACATTTTGTGTCACACGTAGATATTTAAACCAAAGAATAGGTAACAAAATGTTAACAAGACCTTCAAAACCTTTTGTTGAAATGTATATACAGAATAATCAGCTTTCAGTGTAATTATTATAATTTCATAAGTGGAATAAAAAAACCTTGAATGGTAAGATTGGACTAAGTTTGATTTAAAATGCAATAACAGTGTTTTACCCATAGACTGTCTGTAATAAGTGCTCTTTTGCTGTCATCTAGTGGTACAATGACAAAACTTGAAGGACTTTAAATGTTGTTTATTGGTTTAGAATCATGTCACGTGTCTGAATAACTGAGGTTTTAAGTTTTATGCAATCCTTCTACACAGTATGTTTTACCCGCTACACGCTATATTTTGTATCTGTCTATATCATCTTAATTTGTTGTAATTCCACTACTATTTTAATATTATAATAGTAGGAAAAACTATTAAAGTTATGAATACTAATAAAGTATTATTCATACTATGATTATAGTCCTATACATAAATATGCACATACTATTTCATATTGTATTGCTATTATTAATATTTTAAAATATAATGTATTATTTTATTCTATAAATTCTATATTGTATAGAATTTGTACTATTTTAATAATGTGTGATTCATTCCTTTTTTATTAACGTTTTTATTCACTTTTATATAGATGGGCTACTGCTGTACATTATTGTTTGTTATTGTTTACTGTCAACTCTCTCTTCAAGAGGTAAGATCTGGAGCAACTCTAACACTTCACAACGTACATGGAAACAAATAAAACTGTAAGAACAAAGAGGATTCCAGCACTACTTGTGATAAAGGAGATACATTTATTGATAATACAGCTCTTTTTGTACCATAAAATATTCAGCTTCCTTTTATACTGGAGTTTTTCATGCCGTAAAATTATAATAAGTTCATAAATATAAGTTCATAATACTGTTTTTTTATCCGAGACAGTTGCATCTGTTTATATATATATATATATATATTAGTTTAAAAATACAATGCAAATATCGTCAACTATAATTGTGACTAGTCGAAACGGTTATCTCTTATTACCATTATATCTATACGGATACATGACGCATATTTTAGAGATATCTACATCATTAGAGATATCTTCATTGAGTTTTGACTAGTCAAAACACATTTACAGAGATCTCGAATTTCTAATTTTCATTCTGACTATTCAAATTATAATTGTCACTCGTCAAAATATAATTAGAAATATATTTAAATATATTTATAGATAGTAAGAATAAGGTTGAAATGCTAAAAAGGCTTGCCATAGGCGGCCGCATTTACGTTAACCGTGGCAGGCGCATTTAGCTGTGGCAGGTATCCATTTTACCCCTGCAGCCAATATGTCAAAAACTTATATAACGTGCACACTTATTTGTATAATGTTATCACCGGAACTAAACCGAAAAGAAAATGAATGAATGAATCTCTGGTATTAAGCAGTGGGTTAAGATATCACTTCACCTTTGAAACCCTGAAAAATAATGACGATTACCTACATCACAACCATCTTGGATCACCTTGGGAACCCGCGTTCTAATAATGACGTTACAGAACGCGGGGTTCTCAGGCGCACACACACACACACAGTTTTCAGTAGTAATCTTCCAATTAGTTCAAGCACAAAAAGTATTTACAGCTGTCAGATCGAGTTTGTGAAAGAAGCTCAGTGCGAGAATTATCGAGATTTATCAGCTTTGCTATTTTGAATTTCCATATTTACTTGTTGTTGAAACTAACAGAAATGGAGTACATTTGGAAGATGATTGGTTTTTTTAAGGGGGAAACAAGCAATTGTTCCCGCCCTGAAGCAGAAAACACCAGCTCAGGTGAGTTTACTATGACAAGACTCTTCATTTCTCCAGTTCTAATTTAATAAACGTGGTCCTTAAAATACAGTTATACACAAAACCTGCAGTGGTAATTGTCTAGTACTGTGTTGTTTTTGTCGTATGTAATATTCCTGTAATGAACTGTATAACTTTCATATATCTCTAATATTTACCACAGTATTTTGTGTACTGTAATGTTCTCCAGGTAAAATGTAGTATTTCACATTTTTGTAGTATTTACCACAGGACTTTTTGTATTGTATGTAATATTCCTGTTGTATTCTTGTGGCAATGAGTTGATATATTGCCTCATGAAAACAACAGAAAAATCACATGCATAACTGTAAACTGTTGTGATACTCCACTATAGAAAGTATGTCACAGATAATCACTTGTCATTGTCTTCTAGGAACATTTTAATACCATAAAAAATATAAAATCTATTTATGTTGTGAAAATTGAATAAACGGTTTACTGTATTTAATCCACTTTAGGAAGCAGAGACAGAAAAAGAAAAGTCGATGAAGCTTTCCAGAATGACGAAAATCAGGAGGGCTTGATGCCGGCAAAACGCCATAAACCAGCACAGTTCCCTGATGACAATGAAGAACCCAGCACCAGCTCAGGTCAGTTTACCAAGACCCTTCATTTCTCCAATCCTACTATGATCAATTTGGTCCTTAAAATACAGATTGTAAAGTTGAGCAATATCACATGACTGTTGTTACTTATTGTGATTCAGAAAGAGTGTCATGGGTAATAATTTAAAGCCATCTCTCACCAAAATATCCTGTGGTATTTCATATGATAAATCAGAAGAACAAAAAATTGGTGGTTATTGTGTAGTACTGTGCTGTTCTTGTGTAAGGTATTGTTGCATGTAATATTTCTGTAATGTTCTTGCAGTAAATAATAGTATTGCTTTAATGTGTTTTTAATATTTACAACAATACTTTGTATACTGTACAACAAAATCCTGTGGTAAAACCTACAAAAATGAGAAATTAATACCCCATTTACCACATTAAATTTTAAGTAAATTAAGTAGGATCAGTAAAGTAGGATCAGTAAAGCCCCTCTGAAGCCCAGTTTAAAGTGTTAAATTGGGTTTATGCAACCGTTCAATTACACAAATGTGTAAAATGCCTAGAAACAACCACAGTGTCTAAAAATCCTTTTGTCTGAAGAAACTCTGTCACAGAGAACATTTTAATACAATAAAGATGATAAAATCTATTTATGTTATGAACATTTTATGGAAAACACATTTTGTATCTAATCCACTTTAGGAGGCAGAAAAAGAAAACTCCAGGTGACTTTTCAGGATGATCAGGAGGACTTGATGCCGGCAAAACGCCGTAAACCATCACAGTTCCCTGATGACAGTGATGAACCCAGCACCAGCTCAGGTCAGTTTACTAACACAAGAATACACTTTTCTTCAACTTCGTTAAACCAAAAAAAGATGATATTTTGAAGAAAGCTGGAAACCTGTCTTCATTAAATTCCATAGTATTTTTTTTTCTTGTCGGGGTTGAGGGGGGCTGGTGTTTGTGGGAGTGGAGATTGGCGGGAGTCTGATAATAATCATTAAAAAAAGACATATGGAGTGCAAAACTAGCACTCAAAAAAGCATAAATCTGGTAAAAATTGGTAAAACAACAGGCATTATATATTAACTTAAGGGGAGAAAGCCGGTAGTTCGATGTGAAATCAGACATTGAGGAACCCTCATACAGCCAAAATGGCCTGATCCTCATTTCATAATTTACCTCTGTTATTATTCAGCTGAGAGATTGGTCGTTGCAAAGTTTTGACTATTTAGGGTCACCCTATACCAAGTAGTAATGAATGAATGAAGATTACTAAAATAAGTGATCATCTATAATTAACCCTTCCATATTTTGATCCACTTTAGGATGCAGAGGCAGAAAAAGAAAAGCCAAGGAAGCTTTTCAGGATGATGAAGATCAGGAGGAATTGATGCCGACAAAACGCCATAAACCAGCACAGTTCCCTGATGACAATGAAGAACCCACCACCAGCTCAGGTCAGTTTACCATGACAAGACCAAGATTGTCTAGTACTGTGTTGTTTTTGTCGTATGTAATATTCCTGTAATGAACTGTATAACTTTCATATATCTCTAATATTTACCACAGTATTTTGTGTACTGTAATGTTCTCCAGGTAAAATGTAGTATTTCACATTTTTGTAGTATTTACCACAGGACTTTTTGTATTGTATGTAATATTCCTGTTGTATTCTTGTGGCAATGAGTTGATATATTGCCTCATGAAAACAACAGAAAAATCACATGCATAACTGTAAACTGTTGTGATACTCCACTATAGAAAGTATGTCACAGATAATCACTTGTCATTGTCTTCTAGGAACATTTTAATACCATAAAAAATATAAAATCTATTTATGTTGTGAAAATTGAATAAACGGTTTACTGTATTTAATCCACTTTAGGAAGCAGAGACAGAAAAAGAAAAGTCGATGAAGCTTTCCAGAATGACGAAAATCAGGAGGACTTGATGCCGGCAAAACGCCATAAACCAGCACAGTTCCCTGATGACAATGAAGAACCCAGCACCAGCTCAGGTCAGTTTACCATGACAAGACCCTTCATTTCTCCAATTCAACTATGATCAATTTGGTCCATAAAATACAGTTTGTTAAGTTGAGCAATATCACATGACTGTCGTTACTGATTGTGATTCAGAAAGAGTGTCATGGGTAATAATTCAAAGCCATCTCTCACCAAAATATCCTGTGGTATTCCATATGATAAAACAGAAAAACAAAAAACTGGAGTGGTAATTGTGTAGTACTGTGCTGTTTTTGTGTAAGGTATTGTTGCATGTAATATTTCTGTAACGTTCTTGCAGTAATTAATAGTATTGCTTTAATATGTTAGTAATTTTTCCAACAATACTTTGTGTACTGTAGTAGTGTCCATTTTAATATGGTAATAATTTAACATTTTTGTAGCTTTTACCACAGGGTTTTGTTGTACTGTATGTAATATTCCTGGATTCTTGTGGTAATGAGTTGATATTGCCTCATGAAAACAACAGAAAAAGCTTAAATCTCTTTGAATGAACAAGCTCTTATCTAATTCATTTGATTATTTCTTCATTTAGTTTCAAACAACTAGAATAAATCATTTAACAGAACTAAACTCATTCCATTCTTTTCCATAAGACATGTTTCTGTTTTGCAAATCTAAAAAGTGGCTTGTTTCCTTTTTTTGAGTGTAATGAGTTAATATTGGCACATGAAAACAACAGAAAAATCACATGCATAACTCTAAATTGTTGTGATACTCCACTACAGAAAGTGCTGGGGTGATCCTGTCATATTTTGCTCAGTTTATTTGTTCTGTGGTAAATTTATTTTGTTCAGCAGGACAGTAGGATCAGTAAAGCCCCACTAAATCCCAACTTAAAGTGTTAAATTGGGTTTATGCGAAATGTGTAAAATACTTAAAAGCAATTACAGTGTCTAAAAAATTATTTTGTCTGTAGAAACTCTGTCTCAGATATAATCACTTGTTAATTGTTTTTAAAGAAACTTTTAATACAAAAAAATTATTAAATCTATTTATGTTAAGAAAATTAAAAAAATAAAAAATAAACTATTGTATCTAATCCACTTTAGGAGGCAGAAAAAGAAAACTCAAGGTGACTTTTCAGGATGATCAGGAGGACTTGATGCCGGCAAAACGTTGTGAACCAACACAGTTCCCTGATGACAATGAAGAACCCAGCACCAGCTCAGGTCAGTTTACTAACACAAGAACACACTTTTCTACAGCGTCGTTAAAGAGATATACTTTACCAAAAATGAAACTTCTGTCATCATTTACTCACACTTTACTTGTTCCAAGCCTTTTTTATTTCCTTTTTTCTGTCAACCAAAATAGATGATATTTTAAAGAAAGCTGGAAACCTGTCTTCATTGAATTCCATAGTATTTGTTTTCCTGCTGTGGAAGTCAATTATTAGAGGGTTTCAGCTTTCTTCAAAATATATTCTTTTAGTAATAATAATCTCATAAAGGTTTGGAACCACTTGAGGAAGAGTAAATTGTGAGTAAAACATGACACGCTGAAAAACATAAATCTGGTAGAAGTTGGTGTAAAAACAGGCTATATATCAACTTAAGGGGAGAAAACCAGTCGTTCGATGTGAAATCAGACATTGAGGAACCCCCATATTGCCAAAATGGCCTGATCCTCGTTTCGTAATTTTCCTCTGCAAATGTACTGAGAGATTGGTAGTTGCTAAGCTGCGACTATTCGGGGTCACCCTATACCGAGTAGTAATATGAATGCAGATTACTAAAATAAGTGATCATCTATAACTAACCCTTCTATATTTTCATCCACTTTAGGATGCAGAGGCAGAAAAAGAAAAGCCAAGAAAGCTTTTCAGAATGATGAAAATCAGGCGGACTTGATGCCGGCAAAACGCCATAAACCAGCACAGTTCGCTGATGACAGTGATGAACCCAGCACTAGCTCAGGTCAGTTTACTACCACAAGACCCTTCATTTCTCCACTAAATTTGGTCCTTAAAATACAGATTGTAAAGTTGAGCAATATCACATGACTGTCGTTACTGTTTGTGATTCAGAAAGAGTGCCATGGGTAATAATTCAAAGCCATCTCTCACAAAAATATCCTGTGGTATTCCATATGATAAAACAGCATAACCAAAATAACTGGAGTGGTAATTGTGTAGTACCGTGTTGATTTTGTGTAAGTTATTGTTGTCTGTAATTTTCTTGTAATATTCTTGTGGTAATGAGTTAATATTGGCACATGAAAACAACAGAAAAATCACATGCATAGCTTTAAATTGTTGTGATACTCCACTAAAGAAAGGGCTTTGGTGATCCTGTCATATTTTTCTCAGCTTATTTGTTCTGTGGTAAATTTATTTTGTTCAGCAGGACAGTATTATCAGTAAAGCCCATTTTTAAAAGGGATATCACAAGGATAGGAGTGTCAAATTGGGTTTATGCAACCGTTTAATGACACAAATGTGAAAAATGCTTAGAAATAACCACATTGTCTTTAAAATCTTTTTGTTTGAAGAAACTCTCTTGTCACAGATTATAATCACTTGTCATTGTCTTCTAGGAAAATGTTAATTAAGTATAAAACATCAAATCTATTTATAATTTGAAAATAAATGTTTGTTGTATCTAATCCATTTTAGGACGCAGAGGCAGAAAAAGAAAAGCCAAGAAAGCTTTTCAGGATGATGAAGATCAGGAGGACTTGATGCCGGCAACACGCCGCAAACCAACACAGTTCCCTGATGAAAGTGAAGAACCCAGCACCAGCTCAGGTCAGTTTACTACCACAAGAACACACTTTTCTTCAGCTTTGTTAAAGAGAAATACTTTTCTGTGGTAAATTAATTTTGTTCAGCAGGATCACTAAAGCCCATTTTTGTTAGAGATATATCATGAATAGGAATGTTAAATTGGGATTTGCAACCATTGATGACACAGCTATATAAAATGCATAGAAGCAACCACAATGTCTTTTGGTTTGAAGAAACTGTTACATATTATAATCACTTGTCATTGTTTTGTAAGAAAATGTTAATTAAGTATAAAACATCAAATCTATTTATAATTTGAAAATAAAACGTTTGTTGTATCTAATCCATTTTAGGACGCAGAGGCAGAAAAAGAAAAGCCAAGAAAGCTTTTCAGGATGATGATGATCAGGAGGACTTGATGCCGGCAACACGCCACAAACCAACACAGTTCCCTGATGAAAGTGAAGAACCCAGCACCAGCTCAGGTCAGTTTACTACCACAAGAACACATTTGCAACCATTCGATGACACAACTATATACAACTAATATATAATACACAGAAGCAACCACAATGTCTTTTGGTTTGAAGAAACTCTGTTACAGATTATAATCACTTGTCATTGTTTTCTAAGAAAATGTTAATAAAACATAGAATATCACATTTATTTACATTATAAAAATTGAATAAAAAGTTTATTGTATTTAATCCACTTTAGGGGGCAGAGGCAGAAAAAGAAAAATGGAGGAAGCTTTTAAGGATGATGAAGATCAGGAGGACTTGATGCCGGCAACACAGCATAAACCAACACAGTTCCCTGATGGAAGTGATGAACCCAGCACCAGCTCAGGTCAGTTTACTTTCAAAAAACACACTTTTCTTTAGCTCCACTTTCAGTAAAGAGATAGTTTTCTGTCTCATCACTGCTGACAATGAACTGAAAAGTTTCCAACAACTTTCAAATACATGTAACTGAGATAACCTTCAGGTTAGAGACTATTTCAATAAGAGCACAAGAGATTTAGAAAATATAGAACCAACATCAGTGTGGGTATTTGCAGAAACTTACAAAAAGAAGGTGAATAAGAAATTAGTATCTATAAACTATTCCTGTCTGACATCAGCAAAGAAACACTCAGCCATGTATATGAAATAGAAATGGGAAAAGGAAGCTAATGTAATTATAAGAAAAGAGGTATGGTTATCTATGTGGAAAACACACATGATCACAATTAACCCAGATTCAAGGGAATTTATTTGGAAAAAATAAATATTTTCCAACTTGTAATAAAAAATGGTGAATGCTGGAGAAAATGTGGAAATGCAATGGCTGATCATTTTCACATAGTTTAATATTGTAATATTATTCACCCATTTTGGCAAGATCTGAAAATAGAGATAAAAACAATAATGGGATTGAATCTGGAATGTAATTTTAAAACTATGTACATGGAAAGTAATTCTTCAAAATAACAAAAAATTATACATATCTCCTTATTACACTGCTTGTAGTGCTGTGCGTCATTTGTTTAACCCTTTAAGGTTATGTGCTGGCTGACTGACTGACAGGTGCGTGATGTGTGAGGCCAGCAAACAAGATGTATAGCTGTTTCACTTTACTTCAGGACACATTAATACCGCTCTGTAGGTCTTCAAAAATATTCCTAGCAAATCTAATAAATGTTGGAGACATACTTGTTAAATAAATGCACTATATCGTTCTTCAGCATTGTTTATTTGAGAGCGCACAAGAAGATCTGCACTTGAGCAGCATATTTGAGGGGTTGTGCAAGAAGTTTTGTGCATGAGCAGAGGAAATCAGCGCGCAAGCAAAAAGATTGGCATGCTTAAAGGCTATTACATAAATGTGATCTCAAGTTGTAATACTGCGCTCACGACATTTGTCATTGTAATAACGCCACAGGTAGTTGGTAGATCTGTATAAAAAAGGCCTGCTTTCACAGCTGGAAAAAATCCTACAGGAAACACTGCTTAGGAATTTAAATAAGATTGTATCCAGTAAAGATATATATGAAGAGTCCAGATGCAAAACCCTCTAAACCCATCAGACCACTTTTTTTGTAATAAGCGTTTTCTATCAAACACCTATAATTAGGTTCAAACGAGTCATTTTCTAGATAATGAAAAGGTTATTGGTTAGTAAATGAAATAACTTTTTTTTTTTTTTTCCAAAAATGTCACTTTAGACAATTCTTTGGTTTTTAACAAGGTATATTTTCTTTTGCGTTAAAACCAGCTAAATCCACTTGTGCTTTTTATGCAAAACCCTGTAAATCCACAAATTGGGACAAAAAAGTATAATTTGTTGCAAAATCACTAAAGAAGCAATTAGAAATTATTTTACCAAACAATAAACACATACACAAACCTCCTAAAATTAAAAATACAGAAATCTGTCAAGTAAGTGGCAGTTCATTCCGCTGTGGTAACCCCTGATAAACCAGGGACTATAAGGAAATCTGTCAAGTAAGTGCATTAATCAATAACATTAAAATTGACATTACTTACATCTTAACATTATCATTTCTGAATGGCATCTTAACTTCTTTCGTGAAACAATGTTGCCGTTTAATGTAAAGTAATGTAGATAAAAAGATATAAAATAACCAGAATTCATTTATGTTATAAACCACTACTTTGAGCAATTCCTTCATTAGATCCAGAGTTCAGAGCCCATGCTTTCAGGCAAGTTGCATGGTGCAGCAGACCTGTCAGATTCTGCTTGTGTCAAGCTGTTTTCATTGATGAAATCAACACTGAGAATATAAATATTGTACAAGTAAAATAAGCAAAACGTATTGTGAGATTCTTATTGGTTAACACACACACACACACACACACACACACACACACACACACACACACACACACACACAAAAACAGTTTGAAGTGTTAGTTGTTGTTGAGTGATGTGACATGAACTATTGACACTCCCTGCTTCTTTTTTTGGTTAATCTTTTACCATTTGAAAGTGCCTTCACATTTTTAATAGTTGAAAATATTATAAAATATAACAGATATTGTGAAAGATTAAATCCCTGCTACATAGATGCTTGTCTGACAGTCACAGATCATGAAGAGTGAAACTTAAATGTCAAGGAGGGTGAATTTGTTCAAGCATGTCAAAATATTTACCAAAAACATTTTTATTTTCAGTTACAGCATTAATTACATGAACGCATGCTATATACCGACTGAGGGGGAGAAAACCAGTGGTTCGATGTGAAATCAGACATTGCGGAACCCCTTTATAGCCGAAATGGCCTGATCCTCATTTCATAATTTACCTCTGCAAATATTCGACTGAGAGATTGGTAGTTGCGAAGTTACTGAGTAGTAATGAATGAATGCAGATTACCAAAATAAGTGATCATCTGTAAATAACTTCCATATTTTGATCCATTTTAGGATGCAGAGGCAGAAAAAGAAAAGCCAAGAAAGCTTTTCAGAATGATGAAAATCAGGAGGACTTGATGCCGGCAAAACGCCATAAACCAACACAGGTCCCTGATGACAGTGAAGAACCCAGCACCAGCTCTGGTCAGTTTACTACCACTAGAACACACTTTTCTTCAGCTTCGTAAGGAGATATACTTCACCAAAAATTCTGTCATCATTTTCTCACACTTTACTTGTTCCAAACCAGTCGGTACCAATAGCCTAGTGGTTAAGTGTGCCGACATATAGCACCATGGTGCTCCTGGCGACCCGTGTTCGATTCCCGACTCGAGGACCTATGTCGACCCTTCCCCTCTCTCTGGTCCTAATACTTTCCTGTCTGTCCTCCACTATTCTATCCCAGTAAAAGGTGAAAAAAAACATAATTATATACTTGTTCCAAACCTTTATGATTTTCTTTTTTTCTGTCAACCAAAAAAGATGATATTTTAAAGAATGTTTGTGGGAGTGGAGATTGGCAGGAGTCTAATAATAATAATAAAAAAATAAATAATCACATATGGAGTGCAAAACTGACACTCAAAGCATAAATCTGGTAAAAATCTGAACACGCATTTTAAAAACATGAATGCTGGGGGATTCTTTCACTTCATTTGGGAGACAATTCCAAACCTATGGAGCATAGAACCTAAAATAGTCCTGCCAGATCGCATCAGGAATACAGAGTGAAATTCTAAAAGTCCAGCGCTAGAAGAGCGTATAGCAAACGGTTTGGATTATATTTTGATAAGCAGTCACTAAAGGGGTGAAAACCAGTAGTTCGATGTGAAATCATGTGGAACCCCCATATAGCCAAAATAGCCTGATCCTCATTTCGTAATTTACCTCTGCAAATATTCAGCTGAGAGATGGTCGTTGCGAAGCTTTGACTAATCGGGTTCACCCTATACTGAGTAGTAATGTGAATGAACGCAGTAGAGCTGCACAATTTATCGTAAGAAGATTGCAATCTTGATTCGACCCCCTAGACGATCTTAATTCAGCATTTCTACGATTCTGTCAATCATATTTTCAAGTTCAGGAGAGAAGCAATGATGGCCGCACAAGTCCTCACATTGTTTTACATACGTTGTTCAGCAACATGGACACCTCCAAATGGTGTTAAAAGTCACATGCTGTATTTACAAGATACAATTCACCTCAAAATGTCATTTCTGTCTTTGTCATGTTTTTGTGAGTGCAAAATCATTCGTGACGTGAGCTGACCGTCAGCTGTTACCACAGAAAGGGAGGGAGCGTGGGCGCACGCCTCTTAGTGAAGTTTACTTAGTGAACAGAACCTGCATAAGCTGTAAATAACAGGTAATAAAGTTGTAAATAACAGTTTGTGGCACAGAGTGATCGTTTGGAAGTCGCGCGGGCAGTGAACCGCTCTTAGCAGTGAAAATGAAACCGAAAGCGTGCACAGTGTTGCCAGCCCAAACAGTATCCAAAACCAGCCGAAATGCAAAAATACCCACCCAGTCTTCTGTATTCACGAAAATGACGTCAGTGACAGATTTTAAGCAGAAAACTACAGATTGTAAGCATATGTCTGAAACAATAATTCAACATCAGAACTATCATCAGCATTGATGACCAGAACAAATCTAAAGTCTGTTCAAGGGAACCATTCCAAGTCTATACAAAATTAAGCATTTTAACTTACAGTACAGATACACAAAGCCTATTGCTGTTTTACCACATGTTTGAGAATGACAATAATAATAGCCCACTCATATCATTCTTTATTTTACATCTACAGACTCATGAGAAAATCCTGATCTTTATTTTAGGCAAAAAAAAAAATTCGATTCTCATTTTAGCCAGAATTGTGCAGCTCTAGAATGCAGATTACCAAAATAAGTGATCATCTGTAATTAACCCTTCCATATTTTGATCCACTTTAGGACGCAGAGGCAGAAAAAGAAAAGTCGAGGAAGCTTTTCAGGATGATGAAAATCAGGAGGACTTGATGCTGCCACCTCAGTTCCCTGATGAAAGGGATAAACCCAGCCCCAGCTCAGGTCAGTTTACAATGACAAGACCCTTCATTTCTCCAATTCTACTATGATAAATTGGGTCCTTAAAATACAGATTGTTAAGTTGAGCAATATCACATGACTGTCGTTGATGATTGTGATTCAGAAAGAGTGCCATGGGTAATAATTTAAAGCCATCTCTCACAAAAATATCCTGTGGTATTCCATATGATAAATAGAAGAACAAAAAACTGGAGTGGTAATTGTGTAGTACTGTGTTGTTTTTGTGTAAGGTATTGTTGCATGTAATATTTCTGTAATGTTCTTGCAGTGAATAATAGTATTACTTTAATATGTTTGTAATATTTACAACAATACTTTGTGTACTGTAATATTCTCCAGGTAATATGTGGTATTAAATTCACATTTTTGTAGGTTTTACCACTGGGTTTTGTTGTACTGTATGTAATATTCTTGTGGTAATAAGTTTAAAATTAAAGTTTAAAGTTTAAAATATTTTCGTTTGAAGAAACGGTAACAGATTCTAATCACTTGTTCAAATAAAATAAAAATTAGAATATGATATGTATTTATATTATAAGAATGATGAAACTTTTTATATATTTAATCCACTTTAGTTGAAGAAGCTTCTCAGGTTGATGAAGATCAGGAGGACTTGATGCCGGCAGCAAGCAGTGAACCATCACAGTTTCCTGATGAAATTGAAGAACCCGGCACCAGCTCAGGTCAGTTTACTTTGATAAAAACAATGTAGGTGTGTTTACATGGAGCCTTTAAATTGGTTTAAAAGTTTAATTCGAATGATAAATGCTTCATATAAACACCTCAATGGAATAAACATGGTCAAACCAAATGAAATTGTAATCAGTTTGAAAGGGTGGTATAAACCTTGCCATATTTGAGTTTTGTTGGATATATTCAGGAAGCATGTTTTCTTTGAGCTGATCCAATTAAAAGTTCAGTTCGTATATCTGAATGTTTTTGTTTTTGTAGTTTTGTATTAAATAACAAAATTGTGTTCATGTGTAGGAATATTAAAAACTGTGTGTATGGAATTCATCATGATGTGGAATTAGATCAAATCAGTGACATGATAATTGTAACCAAACCATGAGACCTGTGAAGGTTTAGACCCCTAATAAATAATATCTGTAGCTTAATGTGTGTTTAAGTCATGTAAGTGGAAGTGGGTGGAGTCAGGGGTGAACGCGATTCAAGGAATGTTTATGCTGAAGAATGGAGGTGCTGGAATGGTGTAATAAAAACAAGCTAAAGCTATAAATGATGGGTCCTGTTCATCTCACAATAATAAACCTTTGTTCATTGTAATCCACTTAAGGAAGCAGAGAAGGAAATGCTGAGCAACATTTTCTGGATGATGAAGATGATGATTCCTCCTACGACGAGGATCCAGATTTTTGTAGAAGAGACACCGGGCCAGGTCAGTCTTCTATCGCAAGACCTCACATTTCTCCTGTAATTTCTGTAACATGGTATCATGTTTCTCCTGAAAAATCTCCAGTAAATTCTGTATAGTTTTGAATAGTGATGGGCAGAGCGAGGATTCATGAAACACTGAAACAGTCAAAGCAAATGTGTCTCTACAGTGAAATCTGTTAGTCTGAAACCGCTTTGACAGAGAAGCAGTTGAGGAAATATAATATGTCGTGTAAAACATTCATTCCATCAAGTGATTGGATTGTGGATAATGTTCACACCTGGAATGCAGTTGTCATGAGTTTGAATCCAGGGCAAAGCATGTAATAAACATTTAAAATATGTGGTTTCATAGTTTTGTTCTTGTAATGTGTTCGGTCTGACATCTGAATAAACTCTTTGTAAATAAATGCAAAGTTTAAGAGAAAGAGTAGGAAGGTCCACAAGCCAGGATTTGAACTCAGAGCATCTGCAATGTGCTGTAGTTACAGTACATGTTGCCGCACTGCCCACTAGGCTGTGTGCGATTGTGTGGATTTTCAGTCAATCAAATGCAGATTTAGAAAGGATGTCAAGTCTCGGATCACCGAATGTATGTGACACGTGTGTTTTAGATCAGTGTTTCAATAGTGCTGAGCAAAGGTTGATCACGGTTAATCACGTCATAAAAGTTTGTTTTGACATAATATATGTGCGTGTGTTATATAACATATATGTAGTGTTGGGGATAACGCATTACAAGTAACGTGAGTTACCTAATAATCTTACTTTTCTAAGTAATGAGTAAAGTATTCAGTAAAACTTTTGAGTTACTATTTGAAAAAATGTAAAGCGAGTTACTTCTTAGTTTAATTAATTCACTTTTTAAATAATAAATTGCTGAATTCAAATTAATGTTGAATGAGAATTTTCTCTCAGCAGAAACAGACAGAAACCAACAATGGAGAGTCTTACATTTCAGTGATGGAAATATTCCCATTATTCTCAAAACATGGAAGAAAAGGAAAAGGGTCTCGTACACACATAGAGAGACACGAACGTGCTGGTGAAGTGTGTGTGTGTGGGTGTTTATAGCAGTTTGACTAATAAATATGAATTTGTAGCTAAATCTATGTAAATCGTTTGCATGCATGTGTCTATATATATAATAAATATACTATGATTAATCGTGATCAATTTTTTCCCAGCACTAGTTTTGAAACATCTGCGCTTCGGCATCTGGAGGCCAAAATGTCAGTTTTGGCATTTTTAAGTTTTATATTTTTGTCAGTAAGCAAACACAGTTTTATAGCACGCTGAACCTCAACAGAAATATATTCTCCTACTATCACAGTAAGACAAAAACAGAAATGAGCAATCCTGGTAAACTGTCATAATCCTTTTGTTTGTTTTTCAGGATCTCCTCTTGACAAATATGAGCTTGGAAGGAAGCTGGGAAAGGGAATCTATGGCACTGTCTACGTGGCAACACGCAAATCTGATGGAAAAAAGGTAAGTCACTTTTGCTGCACATGTTGTTTACTTAATTTTTTCTTCTTGTAAAGGAAGTGGTGTGCATATGGACGCATGTCCATGTTGGATTATACACATGTATTATTGGATTTATTACGATTCGTTTTTTTTATTGCTTTGGGGAAAAAATATTAATATTTTGTTTCTTTTGCAGGTTGCCCTGAAATTCGTTTATATGCCGAACTGTTACATAAATCGGAAAGTAAGTAAACACAACACAATGAATATATCTGAATATGTGTTGAATCTATATTAAACACATTATTTTATACAGTTATAATTGTGCAGATACATTATACAGTTCACATGCTCTAACCTTTTTCTAATATTTTTCTCTAGCCTGGACGTGTCTTTTACCCGACTTCGGAGGCCAGAATATTGCTTGAACTGAAGAAGCCTTCCTTATGTCCCCACATCATAGAGTTGTATGACTTTTTTGAAGTGGAGGAATATGATGTTTTGGTCATGGAGTACATGCAGCCGAGTATGACCTTGACTGCATTCTTCAGGAGAAACAATGGTCCCTTGACTGAAAGTGTAGCGCGACTCTTGATCCTGCAGATCCTAATTGCATTAGAACACTGCCTGGAGCATGGCATTGACCATAGAGCAATCTATGAAGAAAACATCCTGGTGAATCCAAAGACCCTTCAAGTCAAGTTGATTGGTTTTGGCTGCAGTGATTACATTGCGGGCGACTTAAAACCGCACGCTGGTAAGATGCTTTTCTCTTCACCTCTCCTGCTGAAACCTCTGGTATTGCTGGTCACCGGCAGTTCTAGATTTTACAATTCATGCTGGCTGTTATGCTGGAGAATTTGCACTGATTGTTTTTTTATTTTTTAATGCTGCTTATTAATATCCCAGCTTATTGAACTCCTACTTTTACACTGACCACTTGTAATGAAATAGTTTTGATGGCTTAATTATTATAAATTGCTGTTCTACTCTTCTAACTCACAAATCTGTTGCTTACAGGATTTGACCAAATCTACTGCAAATGTATGTGGCATTCTCGTCTAGTAGAAGTTGGTTTCTTGAGGAATGCACATTTTGCTCTAGAAGAAACTGTTGAGTGTGTGGCAAGACTCCTGGCAAGGATGGTGAATGGATATTGGCCCCTTCGCTCTATGGTTGAGTATCCAAGATTTCACCCCAGTGTATCCAAAGGTGAGACAATAACTCAACAAAGTGCTGTTCAGATATAATTGGACAGTGTTGTCAAGACTGTAAAAATGTGAAATTAAGTCTAACTTCATATACAGTTTTCATGTTAGGCATGTGAGAACATACAGGATTAATCAATTCTCTCGTTTCTACAGAATGCAGAGATCTTCTGAAAATGTGCTTCGGTTTCAATGTTCACGATGGACCCACTTTGGAGGATATTATTGATCATAAGTGGTTCAACAAAAAGATAGACACCTGATGGACAGAAACCACTGGCACAATCTGGTAGGCTTATTGACACTTCTGGTGGCACATCTGGAGGGCTTGATCGTGGATATGGTGCAGGTCCAAGTAGGTCACCAGGCAGATGTTTAGACAGCCAACAGGATCAATGCAGAGATTCGTCTATACCTATAATTAAATGACACAACATCTGACGCACAGAAGCCATTGCGCCTGTTAATATGCTTGGCGACTGGTGTCAGTGGATAGCGGCATGTGCCACTGGAGCTTGTGATGTGCGCTGATGCGTTGCGTCCTGTGTCACTGAGATTGTCGCAGTACATGTTGCTGTGTGGCTCCTCTAGTGGTGACTGACAGCTCCTGCTGCTGCTGCTGACGATGCTGACTGCTGACTGAGCATGAAGTAGGTTGTGTAACACAGACACTTAACAACAGAACAATATTTCATTAATAATATAAAAACCGCCAAAAATAATATTTATTACATTGCAGAGTTTGTTTATACAACATACTGGGCTTAGAAATATTCATATTATTACTGCACTGTAATGCTAAAACAGCGTAAGATAATTTGTTTAAAGAAAAAATCTGAAAATAATGTAAAATATGTAGTTTGGTTTACTTAAAAATCACCAAGTTAGAGATTTTACTTAAGTGTTTTATTATTTTGTCGTTCACTAAACATACTGTAATGTAATTGTGGTAATGTCAGCAACACTGCTTATAAAAATGAAATATAATGCAAAAAGATAGAAAATATAATTATAAAAACTTATATAAATTATATTAGAATTATAAAAATTCTGTAAATTAAAATGATCATTTCTAAGTAGTAATTTGAAGATTTGAGAATGCACAAAAATTATAAAAAACATATTTGAAAATAATTTTGATTGAAGCAAAAACAAAAAATAAATGTGTGATTTTTGAATGTTTAGTTTTCATTTAGTTCATTTCACAAAGTAGAAAGTGCAAAAACATCAATTTGCATGAGAAGTGCAGTTTTATACATAAGTTTAACATGAATAACTAGTTGCTTTCATTTAGTTAATTATCCACTGGAAAAAGTAAAGTGAGGAATTACTGGAATAGCTGTACGTGATACAAAATCCTAAATAAATGACCTAATACATTTAAAGGGACATGAAACTAATTTTAAAATACAGAAGCCTAATATTGTTGTACAAATGAACACTGCAATGTACGTCGACATCACTTTGCATTTTCACCGTCACACATGACAAAAATGAATATTATTAATATTGTCATAATTGAACTTTATCACATAATTCACTTTTTTGAAACCACTAAAAAATAGTTTTGTTGTCATCTGGTGTGACACCCTTATTTATTGTTTATTATTATATTAATTATATATGGTCATTATATAACTAATGCATTAACTAGTGTGTTCAATAATGTATTAATAATTAACTCTAGTGTTTAGTTTACATGTGAGATTTAGTATTGCTGATTAGATGGGTTGTTCATTGTCAGGTCCGGTTATCTAACCCATGATCAAATGCATTAATGTATGTGTAGGTAAACGTTATGTAATTATAAAGAATGAATGTGAAGTGGTGCATTAGAAGACGAGTAAGTTAACATTAACAAATAATATGTAGTGTTGAATAATAGTCATTTCTCAGCATCAGTTCGTGTTACATCATGTATTAAATAGCAGATTAATATATGTTTAGTTAACATTAACAACGATTAAGTGTTGCGTAACTGATGTGTTGTTCACTGGTAATTCATGTTACCTAATGCAGTAACTAACATTAACTCATACTCCCTTATTGTAAAGTGTTCCCAAGACATTTATTATTGAACATTAGTTATTCAAACTATGTTTAATATGCTTTTAAAATATTCTTCAACTTAGAAACACGTGTACATATAAATATATAATATATAGTTTATTTAAATATTTAGATGAAATTTATATAAATATATTTTTAAAAGAATTACAATTTCACAGGAGGGCTAATCATTTAGATATTTTATAATAATTTGAATACTATATGATTATTATTTTGTTATATATTATATCATTTTGATCTGTAGTTAATATAATTGTCATACAATATTGTAATTATATTTAATATTAATATAATATGAAATATTGTTCTGTCATTGAGTGTGTGTGTTACACAACCTACTTCATGCTAGAGATCTGCACGGAACTAAAATTTGAATCCCGCTCGCGCCAGGTTTTAGCCCGAACCCGACCGCTCCCGCTTATATTCAGCATTTGTTGTCCCGCTGCCTGCCCCGCCCCATTTTCTACCCGCCGCGCCCGATCCCGCTAAAGAGGGGGGGGGAGGAGAACAAAACCGAAAACCACCCAGCTATACAGAGTCCAGACAGCCTATTACAAGCTGTCTGTATAAACACACAACACAAGCATACACACACACACACACACTAGCACCAAGCACACACACACACACACACACACACACACAAGCACGAAGCACACACACACAGGCAAAGCTCTCTCATTTATGCGCACACACACACACTTCTCATATGCACACACACATACACACACACAGCAACAACGAAAAACATAGCATAACGCTGTCTCATTCATACATGTACATATGCATGCTCGCTCGCTTGCTTGGGTTGGGCACTATATTGCTAGACGGCCCGCTCCCGTCCAAAATACAACCAGTTATCGACCGCTCCCGCGCTTTATTCGGAAATGTATTCCCGCGCCGCAGAAATCTGACCTCTGCAGACCTCTACTTCATGCTCAGTCAGCAGTCAGCATCATCAGCAGCAGCAGTACCTGTCAGTCACCACTAGAGGAGCCACACAGCAACATGTACTGCGACAATCTCAGTGACACAGGACGCAACGCATCAGCGCACGTCACAAGCTCCAGTGGCACATGCCGCTATCCACTGACACCAGTCGCCAAGCATATTAACAGGCGCAATGGCTTCTGTGCGTCAGATGTTGTGTCATTTAATTATAGGTATAGACGAATCTCTGCATTGATCCTGTTGGCTGTTTAAACATCTGCCTGGTGACCTACTTGGAACTGCACCATATCCACGATCAAGCCCTCCAGATGTGCCACCAGAAGTGTCAATAAGCCTACCGTCCATGATGGATGCTCATACTCATCAAACCCTCCATCATCCAGACTACAGCTTCACCCATTTGTATTCATCTGAAGTGAATGTAACTGAAACTGCTTTAATGATGATGTTTGTATTAAACTGAAGTGAATAAAACTGAACTTAATTGGTTTTGATTTAAGTAGAACTACAGCAGCATTTGACCTCCACTCTCCTAAAATTGATTTCATTCTCGATTCTTCATCTATGTTTAGCTGCTTTGTCACAGTCTACATTTTAAAAGTGCTCTAGAATTTATAATGTCTTGACTTTGTTCTCAGTATCTGTTCCTGCACCACACGGCTCTTAGATAATCAGCTTGATGGATGAGAGCTTTATGCATGAACTGTGACTGACGGTAATGTGCAATATTGCAATGGGTTAGCTAGCTAGCAAGGTCAGCTGTGATCTTTTAAGTTGTAACAATAACACTATGAATGCTAGTATTATAATGTTAATTAGTCGTATGTAAAAGGCATTTGCATTATGGATAATATCTAGATTTAATGGCAATACTACTTTTGAATTCAGGAAACACTGTATTAGCGAGCACCACCATGTTCTATGGTAAGTGAAAGAAGAAAAGTCCTCTTACTTTGTCAAACTAATAATAAAACCTACTTAAAAAAATACTAGCTTTTTATTATATATTTTCATATTATTCAACCTCCTTTTAGGTTTCAAAATCACTGTTTTCACCTTGTCGCACACCCAGAGTTTTAAACTTCAACAATGAAAATAACATTTAAAATATTATTTTTCTGGTATCTATTAATGTATCTTAATGAAGCACTAGTGAAATCATTTAAATATATTATAGTTATTAATGTGAGACTATTATCATTATTACTTTTTTATACAATATATCAGTGTCATTTCCACCACAACACTGTAATGTCGCTTTAAAAAGTTTGTGTGAGATTATTTAGGTGGTTTCTATGAAAATGAATAGTGCCATCTGAGAACATCTTCAAGATGGAAGGAATTTACATTTTTATCAACAACACTTGAAGAAAAATCAAGGTAAATATTGCTTGATAAGGAAATACATTTATTCTACATCATTTCCAAACATGCTGTATTTTCAAAGATGTTTTTAAAAACCAAACAAAATAAAGGTAAATAAGAGTGTTTTGTATACATGAAAGGCTAGTATCAACTCAAAGCTAATCTGTGAAGCTATTTTTCATTTTTTCACAATAAACTGTTGAAACGTCATTTTTACTACTGTCATTTCCATCACCACACACATTTTAAAAAAATATTTAAAAAGTTCTCATCACATATTAAAAGTGTATTCACAATGTATAAGTTCATGCTCTATTTAATATACAAATTCAGTTTATTTGTTTTCTAATAATCTCTTAACCAAATTAATATTCAATTTTAGAGTGTGACAGGTGTACAATTGGAGGAGCAAGGGGAGGGATGGGAGGGTCAGACCAGGGAGGATCAGAAGAAAACGTCCAGGGGGGGGTTCAGGTGCCCCGGCAGGAAACCAGGTTGTAGCCGGAGGGTTCGTCCCGAGTAGCGAAGAGGCACAACAGGGAGGAGCGGGAGGGATGACCCAGGGACAATCCAACAGGAGATACAAGGCAGGAGGTCTGTGGGGAGCCGGCTGTATGAGAGGCAACTGGACTGGAATCGGCTGAGCTGGAAGCAACTGGACAGGAGCTGGTGGGGCTGGAGGCAACTGGACTAGAGCGGGCGGGGCTGGAGGCGGCTGGACTGGAGCCAGCGGGGCTGGAGTCGGCTGGACTGGGGCCGGCGGGGCTGGGACCGGCAGAGCTGGGAGCCGGGCTGGGGTCGGCAGAGCAAGAAGCCGGGCTGGAGTCGGCAGAGCAAGGAGCCGGGCTGGGGCCGGCAGGGCAAGACGTCTGGGAGGTGCTGGCAGGGCAAGACGTCTGGGAGGTGCTGGCAGGGCAAGACGTCTGGGAGGTACTGGCAGGGCAAGACGTCTGGATGGCGTTGGTAAGGCGAGGAGCCGGACTGGGGCCAGCAGGGCAAGGAGCCGGGCTGGGGCCGGCAGGGCAAGGAGTCTGGGCGGCACCGGTAAAGCAAGGAGGCAGACTGCAACCGGCACTGAAGTGCGCACTGGCGGGCGCTCTGGGGATAGAGCCGACACTGGCGGGCGCTCTAGGGCTAGAGCCGACACTGGGGATTTACAAAGTTCAAGAAGTCTGTCCAGAGGCTCAGAAAAAGCAGGTCTTGGAATAGCCTGACGCGGATAAGCCCGAAGCTTCAGTTGGGCTTCTCTCCTCCCTCCTGAAGATAAATTAGCAGGACCCGAAAACAGACCTTTCTGTTGATCACCACTCAGGCCTTCCTCCTGAGGGTAGTCCTGCTTCAGGGCGATCGAGAGAGGAGAGCCAGATATTAAAAGTGCGTGCACCATAAAGAAATAGAGACTCCACTCCTCCTCAAATGGTGGCATTTTGGATCGCACAGGTTCTAAAAGTCCTCCCCGAAAGAACATCATTAGCAGTAAATCACTAAAAGTGCTCCTTGGGGCCAGATCCAAAAATTCTTTAATGTAACGCTCGACGGAGCGGTTACCTTGTTTTATACTTACAATAAAATCATCTGCTGGATCCATTTTTTGAGTTCATTGTTCTGTCAAGGTACGTTGAAGGGACTGAGACAAAAGGTGTAGGATCCAATAGCAATTTAATGATGAAAACGTGCGGTAACAGAAAAATCAAAAATATCCAAAGTAACAAAGTAGCAAACAAACAAAGAAAACAAGATACTATGACAGAACTGGAACAAGGCTCAGGAACTACGACAGGATACAAAACAAATCTTAGGAACAACATACCAAACAAGACGAACAACAAACTGACAAACAATGGGTGAATGGTGTAAAAATAGTCCATGAAATTAAGAGGAAACGGAGACAGCTGTGAATCATAAATCAGTGTAAGTGAGTTCCGGATGTGTGCGCGAGGTATGTATGAACTTGAAGTCTTTAGGGACTGTAGTTCGCTCTCAGAGTGAGTGGCGAACTACAGTGCCCTGTAGTGGCTATTTTCTCTCAGTGGTCAAGAAACAAAGTCTTACCCGGGATGTCTTTTACAAGTTTTATTCTTTATAAAGAAGATCACAGTCATACAGCAACAACAGTTTCTGCAGAGTGAGATACTGAAGTCAAGTGTGTTCACCCTTTTATCTGGTTTGTACTGCTTACGAGGTCAACTCCCAATAAGGCCTCATCTACAATTACGTCAGGCGTCTTCTGCTGTTCGTGCGATATGCTCATAACAACCACACATCCTTCTTAGGATAATGAAAAAGCTTTCACCTAAAGAAATATAGTTATCTATAAAAATGTACACATAGGTTTTATGATGAACATATGGAGAACACAGATACACACACATGTAAAAATGAGTCTTAGACAAGTTTCTAACATATAAAGCTCATCTAAAAATGAATTTTCATTACAATTCCTCTCTTTTTATCATTCATTGATAACTCATCATCAAATTCATTTTTTCACCTTTTCTAAAATCACACTAGTTATAAATCACATTCTGATTATATTGATCATGCTGATTACACAAATCATTTAACAGGTTTCTGCACACATAAATACACTAGAGATGTTCAAACCCTCTTCTTAATATAGTTTCCCCATTAAGATTTACTTTTCAAAACATCCCTCTTCCCTGGGAGCCGGGCTAAACGAATAATCACTGTTATTGCGCTCCTGACCGAAGTCAGACCCTCAGTTACCCCTCAGAGGTTCCATCACAGAAATTGCCTGTTATTTGCACACTATTGATTGATTTTACACAACAAAATTCAGAAACATTTGTCAGTTAATTAAAATAACTAACCCTCTACGTTGTTAATTAAATCATAATACTCATAAACATAGGAACACGTTGTTGTTTCTGTACTCTTAAACATACATCACATTTACACTCTTCTCTCAATTTTCATGCAAATGATCACTCTTTTAAGACTTGTTACAGAACATACAACTCATGCAGTTTGCTGTTTTTCTTTGGATAGACCCAAAATACATGTAAGCAAGCAAATAGTCGTCTCAAAATTCAAACAAAAAGTCAGATCAATTAACATTTTCTCAATTAAGTAACAGCCGTCACCTAAATCTGTTCTTAGTCTGTTCACGGGTTTTTTTTGTTCATATCCACATAGCTGCTGCTATCACCAAAGTCATAATCAAATTCATCCCCCATATCAATATTCATACCCTCTTTGTTGACAGCCATCTTTACCATCTGAAGGGATGTTGTAGATGTAATCAGTCTGCCCACTGACCATGATATAAATCTGAAAATACATGGCAGACAACACAATAACACTAGACCCACCCCCACTATAGGTAAAACTACAGTAAAGGCCCAGTAGATCCAGGTTCCCCATTTAAACGATAGCCAATCTAGCCAGGAGTTGTTGGCTTTCTCAGGCACTTTTACGGCCAATCTCATATCAACTACAACGCCAGTAATGTTTTGCTGTAATCAGGTTAATTAAGGTGACACTAGCAGCAATGCCAGTGTTGTTCTCCTCAGACCACACATTACTTGCACACAGAATGGATGCCAGCAATCTTCTCGTCCATCTTCAGATCCTTAATGTGATGGTCAAGCACAGCTTTTTCACCTCTCTTTTGGTTGCCTTCTCCTCCGTCTGATTGCTGCTTGGTGTTGTATTCAGAAGTTACTGTTTCACACACCCCTCTTGACTTTGTTGTTGTTTCTCCCCAGCTGTGACCTTGCTTCACTCAGATATCAGCCTGCTGTTTTCCTTCAGACATCTTCAGAGCCCCTCTTTCTCTCCTACTCCCTCGCGGAATCCTCCTCAGGTGGTGGAATTTTCCTGCAGTGCCCAGCGTGCACCCACGTCGCCCGCTCCGCGACCTTCACCGCTGTCTCAGTGGTCAGTAGCACTTGAAATGGACCCAGCCAACGTTTCGCTCTCCAGCTCTTTCTCCTCAGGTCCCTTATCACCACGAAATCGCCAGGCCTCAGATTGTGTAGTGGTCTGTCAGCTGCCTTCCCCAATGCGGCCTTTACCTGCACACAAACATTGGACAACACATGAGACATTTCTTTACAGTAATTCAACATGTCATCCTCACACACATCTGTTGAGGGCAGCTGCTGTTTACCCCCATTCACACCTACACACGGTGGTCTGCCAAAGAGAATTTCAAACGGGCTCAAATTCATTTTTGATCTTTTTCTCATTCTCATGTACATTAGGACAATGGGTAAAGCTTGAACCCATAGAAGCCCTGTGTCTTCACAACATTTTGCCAATTTGTTTTTTTCACAATACCATTTTCTCTCTCAACAGCTCCACCTGAAGCTGAATGGTAACTGCAATGTGTTCTCAAATCAATTTCCAAATATTGGCCCACTTGTTTGATTGCTTCATTAACAAAATGGGTACCATTATCTGAGCTTATTTTTTGTGGTATTCCCCATCTCGGCACGATTTCAGTCAGTAACGCTTTTGCTACCGCAGCCGAATCTTGTTTTGAGGTTGGAAAAACTTCAACCCACTTTGACCACATGTCAACCATCACCAAACAGTACCTTTTCCCATTGCATGGGGACAATTCAATGAAATCCATTATCAAATATTCAAAAGGCCCCGTTGGAGGTTGATGAGATGATTGTGGAACTTTTATCGCTCTGGCCACATTATGTGTGTTGCAAATTACACATCGTCTACAGAAATTGTCCGCAAATGTAGTCAACCCCTTTGTGAACCACAGTTCATTCATTTGCGCATCCATTGCTGTTTTTGACTCATGATCTTTACCGTGAAGTAATTTCGCCTAATGTTGGAAAAAAAATTTTGGTAAACACGCCTTGCCCTCAGCATACTTCCACACATTATCTTTCATCACACAGCCAGACTGTCTCCACTTGTTTTTCTCCAGCCCCGTCGCGAAGGTCTGCATATCCTGCAAAGAAGAACACATGTCATTGTCATTATCAACAGATAGCAGAGAACATTCAGAGTTGTCCTCGTCTCGGGACGCCGTGACTTTTGCTGCTGCGTCTGCTCTGGAGTTACCTACAGAAACAGAATCTTTGTTGTTAGTGTGCGCTACGCATTTACAAATGGCCAGTTTGTCAGGTAGTAAAATCGCATCCAGCAGTGCTGCCACTAAAGGAGCATGGAGTATTAGTCGACCATCAGACTTTAGAAATTTTCTGTGTTTCCACAGAGCCCCAAAATCATGAGCTACCCCAAATGCATACCTAGAGTCAGTGTAAATGGTAGCTTCTTTTTCTGCCATCAAATTACATGCCTCTGTCAACGCCACGAGCTCTGCGGCCTGTGCCGAATAGTGCCCTGGTAATTTACCAGAAGCCATCACATCAAATTCAGTTGTTACAGCGTAACCAACCTTATTCTGGCGTGTTTGTGGATCTTTGAACGCTGAACCATCCACAAAGAGGACATTGTCACAATTTTCAAGTGGTTCATCAGAGAGGTCAGGTCGTGGTGTACACACCTGTTCAAGTGCTGTTAAACAACAATGATGCCCTTCCCCATCCTCCTCAGTAGGAAGAAGAGTAGCTGCATTCAAACCAGTATATCGTTTAACAGTCACATTTGGCATATCTAACAAGATAGTGTGATATCTCAGCCAGCGAGCAGTTGACAGATGCGATGTTTTTTGCTCTTGAAGTATCATGGACAGAGAATGTGGCACCATCAATATCAGATCAGAATAACCAACAAAATCTCTTGAAACCATAACAGCTTTTTCCGCAGCCGCCACTGCTCTTAAGCAACGTGGCAGGCCTGCTGCTACAGGCTCAAGTTTGCTCGAAAAGTAGGCCACAGGTCGCAATCTACCTCCATGATCCTGTAGGAGCAATGACATCATGAACCCATTTCTCTCATCTACCATCTGAACAAATGGTTTTGTTGGTACAGGTAAACCCAATGCAGGGGCTTCAGCCATTTGTAATTTCATGTTTACAAATGCCTGCTCTGCCTCTGTCGTCCACTCTAGTTTGTCAGTGGATTTCATCCCCTTCTCTAATGTAAGGGCTCTCAGGGGTTGTTCCAAAATTGCATAATTTTGAATAAATGTGCGACAATATGAGCACATTCCCAAAAAAGACAACATTTGTTTTTTCGTCAGCGGTTTTGGTACATTTTTTATACCACTCACCCTTTTTTCAGACAGAGATTTACTGTGTGGTGCAATGACATGCCCCAAAAATGTTACCTTTTGTTTAACAAACTGCAATTTTGTCAAACTGACTTTGTGGCCCTCCTTAGCCAGGTGTTTAAGGAGAGTCACAGTGTCTTTCACACATGTCTCCTCATCCTCAGCACATATCAACAAGTCATCAACATACTGTAGCAAAGCAGTTCCAGCTGTCAGGGTCAAAGGTTCCAAACTTCTTAACAACGCTTCATTGTACAAAGTTGGAGATGCTGTAAAACCCTGACACAGACGTATAAAGGTGTAGCCTTTACTATTGAAATTGAATGCAAACCAAAATTGGCTGTCTTTGTCCACTGGCACACTGAAAAATGCATTTGCCAGATCAACCACTGAATAGAATTGTGATTTTTCAGGAATTTGTGACAAAATCGTGTACGGATTTGGAACTAATGGAGCCCTTTGTTTGACAGCTGCATTTACTGCTTGTAAATCCTGTACAAAACGCCATTCTGTAGGCATCCCATTATCCCTTATCTTTTTGACAGGAAAAATAGGGGTGCGAACCTCAGAATTGTTGCATGGTACAATAACGCCCTGTTCCAGTAAAGCCTCAAACACTGGGGTAATACCCTCAATGGCTTCCCTTTTCAAAGGATATTGTTGTTGACATGGTCTGTAATCAGATTTTGCAGTGATTGTAACTGGCTCACAACCTTTAATCAAACCAACATCATACTTGCTTTTAGCCCACAGTTCGCTGGGTATTTCTGCTAGAGCTGGGTGTATGTCTGCAGCGTTATAGTCAACCATGCAAGAATTCTTCACGCACACCTTGTCAATAGCAGTCACAGTTTTTGAAACAGCTGTTTTTGTTTCACTGTCTACTCTAAATGCTTCTGCGCTTTTGCTAAATTCCATCCCTCTTTCTCTACTCTCCCAGTCATCAGCTTCAACACACTGCTTCACAAACGGCCCTAAATCAGCCCAAGATTGTTGTTTACCCTTGCAAACTGATATGTGAGGCACAGCCTGTGCTGACAAGAGATAGAATGAAAGCTGCTTTTCTGACAGAGACACTGAAACTGCGCAAAAACTGCCATTCCAGTACATTTTCTCCAATTTCAAAGTTTCCTGTTCATCTTTCTCAAACCAAGCTTTTTCAAAATCATCATCCCTATCAATTACGACCTGTGACGTACAATGCAGTTCACCAGGAGACATCATATCACTGTCAAAAGGTTTAACACGTTCTTTAGCCAATTTGCAAATTGAATTAGCCCATTCATTGTCTTCAATGAGCCATTCATAGGCCCACTTCGGCTCTTGTGATTCAATTTGTAAACAACAAAATTCCTCCCCTTCAATCACTCTCACACTAGAGGAATCTGCCGTTAAAATCAAGTTTAGTTTACACAAAATGTCCCTTCCGAGGATGGGAACGGGGCATTTTGGTGAACAAACAAATGCATGTCTGAAAATTTTACCCCCCTCTGTCTCACAGGTCAGCGGAGCTGTACATCGCTCGATCACTGTATGACCAGATGCAGACAGAGACTCATGAAATTTGTTTTTCAAAGCTATTTCACACTGTAGGTCACATGGTCGTATGCAAGATCTGCTAGCTCCACTATCAGCTAGAAACTCAACCAAAGTGGTCTCACTCAACATAAAATATTTTGGCATATTAAAAATGCTTCATTACCAAAAAAAAAACAATGCCATTTCATCAGAAAAATGATCAACATCACTGTGATCAAAATTACAGTGGGAAATGCAAGCTTTTTCTTCATTGCAGAGAGCCAGTATATCAGTGTATGTGAATATGTGTGTATAAAAATGTGTCTGCATTTAAACATGTTAGTAAAAAATGTTCACTTCCCTTTACTGTAGCTGTTGGCTGCTTGCCCAGACCCTCTCCATTCTGCTCTTCCCTTTCCGCACATCAGCTCCGTTGTTGGTTTGCGCCTTTCGGGTCAATCCTTGACCAAAAGTCCATCTCGGTGGCAAGCGCAGACATTTGGTAGAGTTTCTCGTCACGTACCCCACAGGCTCTGTAGATTTCATTGCCATCCGTCACATTCCAGTTTCTCCATCTTCTGGTATCTTTCTCACCCTTGACACCTTTGTCGCCTTTGAACTTGTGATATCTTTGGTTGTCAGGTCTTGGTTGGATCTTTGGTTGGCTGCTTGTACCAGAGCCATGTGCAGCTCGTTTTCTGCTTTCTTCTTGTCTTGCTCTTGCTTCACTCAGCTTGTCTTCAACATGTTGAGCACACAGCAGAATGTCCGTTAAATGTCCATTTTTCCAGTTCAAACAGATGTCCTCCACTCGCTTGAGGTGGGAATTTCGTTGGTGCGGTCGGAGGTCTTCTGGGACAGTAGCAGTTGAGGTCTGGGTCAGTTCTCAGGGCTCGCAGCTCAGCCACGGGATAGTGATGGTACGGCGGTACATGTATGGAAACAGATGTATAGAAAAGATTAGTAATGCTAATTAATCTTTCATTCACTCTTTCACATTTTTCACTTGCTTTTTCCTTCACTTTATCTCCTTCATTCTTTTCCCTACATGACACTTCTTCATTCTCTTCCCTACATGCCAGCTGCCTCTGCAGCATTTTCCTCTTTGCCTCTTATCTGCCTCCCTGAGCCAACAATCAACAGCGTCTCCACACAACACACACACATTCCTTACACAAAAACAACCTGCTTTTCCTTCTGCCTTCTCAATCAACTCTTTTAATTTGTTTAACCTAGTAACACTCAACATTCCCTTTCCCTCAGAAACTTGTGATACTTTATTAGTTTTCCTATATCTTGCATGCTTTTTTTCTTTTTCCATATAATTTTTTCCCATATTCCAAAACACCGGTCTATCATATCTTCGTACTTTGTTTTGAGACGTCCCCATGCTGGCAAAAACTTCCCCTGGACTTTGTCGGTACCTATTAATCTGTCAGACGTCTCCAACAGATTTCGATTTTTCACCTAAAATCGACAAGTTAAGCTTTTCAGCTCTATTTCTCGTGGCACACAATTTCACTTTCCTTTTAGAAGTGAATCGCCCGGCCCCTGATTTCAACCTCCTTCTGGAAGTAAATCACACAGCCTGGATTTCAGCTTCTTTTTGGAAGTAAATTGTACAGCCCCCTGATTTCAACCCCCTCCCGGGAGTAAATCGCAGTTAGCTAGCCGAACGTATTAAAAAGGTCTTGATCTTAGACAGGCGCCAGATCTCACTTGTTTAAGGTCTTGATCTCAGCTAAACGCCAGATCTCACTTGTTTAAGGTCTTGATCTCAGCTAAACGCCAGATCTCACTTGTATAAGGTCTTGATTTCAGCTAAACGCCAGGGGCCTGTTTCAGTAAGGAGGTTCAAACAACTCAGAGTTTAAACTTGAACTCTGAGTTGATTTACCAAGAGATTAAAAACTCAGAGTTTTCGGTTTCAGAACAGCTGATCTGAGTTGGGTCAATCAACTTCGAGTAGACCAACTCAGAGTTAAGTGCGTGCACCGTGACTTTAAAAAGGCATTATCAATGGAGCGCAGACATTACGAGTGACTATGGCAATATCTTATAAAAGAGATCACCATTTCTTTCTCCAGCTGAACTTGATGTTCTCATGCAAAGTTATAGCAAATATGAGTGTGTATATATTTGAAAAGAAGCAACCATCAGTGAAGAAGAGACAGTTAGCGTGGGAAAACAGCTGCTCAAGTTAATGCCTAATTTAACTTTTTAAGTATTTAAATATTTAAGTATAATAAAATAAGTAATGTAATTTGTGACGTTTATATTTTTTTTCTAAACTTTTTTATACATTTATTAGTTTTAAATGATTTAACAGTGCACTTGTGTGTCTGCCTTTTTTATTGATCAAGTGATAGAGGTTAATATAACATTTAGAAGGTAAGCAGTACTAAAAATAATTTTTAGAAAGAATAATAATCCCATTAATCTAGTTACAGTGCATGTCGAAGGTGAATTTAATTTAATTATTTATTAAAAAAGGATAAGCCATTCTAGTACAGTTCTTCTGTGTGTGACTAAAATGTAGGCAATAGCTATGTTTCCATCCAAATATATTACATAAGTTTATGTGCAAAACTGGAATATTGCATAAAAGATGCGAATAAAATTCCATCCAACGAGTCAAAGAGAAAAAAATTGTCACTTCCTGATTAAACTGGCACCAAATATCAACAGTAAAAACAGAATTTACTGTGGTAGAAGAAGCTGCGTCGTTTATTTAGCCTAATTAATGTACTTGCGCCTCGATGTCAGAAGACAATGCTGAAACACAATGAACACGTGGGGGCGTCTGAAGCCATGAGACGCGGAGACTCTTGACACGCACCAGACGTTCGGAGGTAATTAATAATATACACTAATACTGAAACAGTTAAGGCATTTTAGAATGACTAAAACAATATTTGAGACGTGTTACAGTGTGCCCAGCCTGCTGGTTTGTCCATTTACACACATTTTCATTATCATATGATCATGATCTTTTTTTAATGTACATACTGTAATTTGTTCAGTAAAAGTTTTTCCATCTAAGTTTATGCACACATTTTCTATCGAATAAAAGTTTATCCTACTCAGTTATGCGTGTTTTTTATGCATATTTTAAAAAGTTATGTGCATCATGACGTTTCTATCAATCGTTTTTATGCACGTATCCAAAATGAGCATTAAAATAGGTGTGTGGAGACGTAAGGCTAAGGCGAGAAATACCGCTTCATCATTAAAAAAGGGGAGGAGACAGACAGAAACTCTGAGTTTAGAGAATAAAACCTGCTTCTGACCAGGTTAGAAGTTACCACAGTAACTTACTCTGAGTTAAAGTTACCTCTCTTTCAGAAACAGGCTTGACTTACCCTGCTTTCTAGAGTTTAACAAACCTGCCATTTTGAAACGGAAAACCCAGAGTTTCTCTCATTTCAGGGTTAAAATACTCTGAGTTTTCAGTTAACCTCCTTTCTGAAACAGGCCCCAGGACTTGACAGAGTAACTCAAAAATTAAAAATTCATGAAAATACAATGTCCACCACAGAGGACACAAGTCAATAGGCAGGGTCTGAGGAGGAAATTGTTATTATTCTGAACTGTGTACTTAAAAGCTACATTATTAGCTACAAACTCTAGTGTGACCATAGCTTGAAGCTGCAGTCACACTAGAGTTTCTGTGTGCAAAGTTCTGTCATATGGCACTGTGAAATGGAGAGGGACTAAACAAGATTATTAGACATTAAAAAAAGCGAGCGATTGCTCAATGTTTTAAATTTCTGTCCAGAGATGTCATGTTTTGATTCTCGATTGGTCTCACGCAGTCAAGTGATGCATTTTCGCAGGTCAGAATTCACCAAGCTTGAACTTTGCACCGCAGCAACCTGCGAAACGCATGACCCTGCGTTTCCGGTCTCATATCTGCAAGAATATTTGATAATAACAGAGGTTTATATTTTGATTGAGAAAATTTCATTAGACCTCACCATCATGGAAATCAGAGGCTGCTGTAGTTGGGCTCTTGATCCTTTAAACTTCTATCTTAATGTTTCTCTGGCTGTTATAACTTTGTCTCTAAAATCATCAGTCATAGCAAGAAAGGCAATGAGAAACTTTACTGTGTGTACTTAATCATTACAGATACAATTTCTAGTGTATTATAAATTAAGCCATAGAAAATATGGTTTTATTTGATATGATTTGGGATCTATTACAGCTTCCCATGGAGATTTAACATGCACTTATCAAGGAATTAATAAGAAATTTAAATTTAATTCAGTTTCTCATCAATTCCAAGTCATGAAAATAATAAAAGCAACATTTACAGCTGCAGCGTGCACTAAATATTTTCTTACTTTTCTTATTTCTGTTTTTGTCTAACCACAGTTTATCTCATGCATTGATGTGTGTATTGAGCATGCAAGATCACCAGCTTGACCACAAACAGTTTTAGGACATTCAGTCTGTTGCATGCCTGAATAAAAACACTTGTGGTTTGTGTTCTCGCCTAGCTTTTCACAGCAACTGCAACATCACTGCACCAGGAGCGTCAGTAAAGACCAAGAAGAAGAAGAAGAAACACAGCACTGAGCCTGAAAGCTGATGTACTGTAGGCTGCAAGCAGAATCCTTTATGACCCAGAGATAATTTAATATAAAAAATGTATATCAATATAATAAATGAATCATATTATTAATCATATTATTCATTTTATAAATAATTTTTAACTACATTCGAAAAATAGAAACCTGTTTAACTTTAATATGTTTACTTTAATTAACTTTGATATATTTTTACTACTGTAAACTGGTGTAAAAAATCAGGCCGCTTCAATGCAGACTTTGCACCCTTAACAGAAGTTCAGAAGCTCAGAAATCACATCAAATCATCAAACGTAATGACAAACGAGAGATGTTTTTCTGAATAAAATACAATCTTTTTTTGTTTTAATATAAATGAACAAGGCTAGATCGGTTAGGAAAATTCTAGCAAATGTACAAGCTAATTGTCATTACAGACCTTGTGATAGTAATTTAGCTTATTGAAAGCTGTATATTAGTGATGAAAACAGCTATTTAGATTCGTACAAACAGAAATAATGTATTTATAAACTTGCACCTTTCTGCTGTGGACGCCATCTTGTGGTCAGACGCGGGAACTCATTCGGCAGGTGAACTTTTGTGCTTTCTAGCCCTTGAGTGAACACAAAGTCCCTTAAAAAGCCTTCACATACATCCAAAATAACGAAAACATTAATAAAACTTGATAATATTAAATCTGAAAACAAGAGCAAATGAAAAGTACATAAATATGACTGAACCATGTAGCCTACCAGATGATGATACAAACGGCCATGTGATCTGAAATCGTGCGTAGACCATAGACTGTAAAATATAGGCATAGACATAGAAATTGTGAACGATTTAATTTACTTTCTATTATTTACAATAATAAACTTTTTTTAACTTATATTCCTAATATCTACGTGAGCAGTTAGCACTGTACGTGTAATTAAACAGCATGCACTTACATTGCTTGGGCCACTAATAGAAAATATATGAGTTAATTTTATTATTTTAATTTAATTAATTCCTAAATAGCTGTACATTTTACAAAGTCAAACCTTGTCAAACCAATCTTGCTTATTTAGCATTATTATTACAGTTTCGTGAATTATAAATTAATTGATTTAAACTTCATTATTATTATTATTATTTTAACTATGTTTATTATTATTATTAATTATTTATTATTTATATGTTGAGATGAGATGAATCGTTTACTCACGTGATTCAGATTGGCGATTCAAATTGTGGTTGCTATAGCAACGCGTGTTATGATTTGACTCCATATATAAACACCGAGACTCGCCGCTATCTGTTGATTGAGGAGAGGCGAATTTCTGAAACATTTGCTGAGGATTACTGTGCTGATACTGCGATTCTTCAAGGAGACCAGAGAATTTCTGACAGAAGACTTTTATTTTACAAGGAGATCGACGCTCAGAGCTGAAATTATTCCTTTTGACACGTTTTGTTGCTCTTTTGTTGTGTTTATTTTGATTTTGATCTTGTTTTTATTGACATTTTTATTGATATTTGATCTTTGTTCTTGTTTTCAGGTTTGCTGGAGTTTGGAGGAGTTTGTCAGATGGGTGAAAACCGCAGTGAGTGTTTTAGTTTTTATTTGTTTATGATCAATCATGATATGATGTTGTGTAATGTTTGGGGAAATGTGATGTAAATAAACTGGTACAAATGAACCCATTTCAACACAACTGTTCCCCGATATAAGTGATCAGATGTCTTTTATTCTCTGTAGATGCAGCTACTAAAGTTAATTGTTGATTAATTCTTATAATCTTATAATAAACGTGATATGTTGTTGTTGTTGTCGTTGTCTCAGGCCGCTCCAGATCCAGGAGTTCTGCTTTCATCCAGGCAGCTGTTCAGGACGTCAGGACACATGATGGTGATGGTGAAACCCAGACCGTGAGCCAAAAACTTGATGGATTTCTCGCACCTCTGCCTTCCCTGTTGGCCAAATCTGTGTCCACAGATCAGGGTAACAGGAAGAGGAAGCGGCAGAGCGGCAGCCAGCAAACACCAGAAGATGAACGTCCGTCCACCTCATCTAGAAGAGCTCTCAAACGCTCTCGCAGAGGTCAGAATGGCTTATTGAAGAAGTGATGATGATGTTTCAGTAATGCTCTTTTACAGTTTTCTCTACTGCTGCATGTTTTCTTTGAACACACATTTCTACTGCTCCTCTGTGTTGCAGACGCGTATGCAAAGGGCCCACTGCTGGGAGACGGTGGATTTGGCTCTGTGTTTGCTGGGATGCGCAGGTCTGATGGACTGCCAGTAAGTCGTTTTCTCCGCTCTTCATTCAAACAGCCTTTAGAAATCCTGATCTCAGTAAATGTGATGTGTGAGGATCAGGCAGGTGTGATTTATTATGCTTTATCTGTCTACAGGTCGCCATCAAGTATGTGTCTAAAGAGCGGACACAGAGGAGACTGAGAGTTGTGAGTTCAGTGTGAACCTGTTGTTGTGTTTGATGTTTCATTGGGTTCTGAATCCAATCGTTTGTCCTGCAGGAAGGTCAGGGTCGGCTGCCGCTGGAGGTGGCACTGATGACCCGCGTCAATTCAGCTCCTGCCTGCCCCAACGTCCTGCAGCTGCTAGACTGGTTTGACCGTCCCAGACGCTACATCCTGATCCTGGAGCGTCCGGATCCCTGCCAAGACCTCCAGAGCTTCTGTGAGGAGAACGGCTGTCTGGATGAGGGTCTGGCCAAGAAAGTGCTGGTGCAGCTGATCGCGGCTCTGAAACACTGCGAGAGCCGCGGAGTCCTGCACCGGGACGTCAAGCCAGAGAACCTGCTGATCTCCACAGAGTCCCAGGACATCAAGCTGCTGGACTTCGGCTGTGGAGATCTGCTCAAGCGCTCGGCCTACAAATACTTCGCAGGTGGGTTTGTGTTGCAGAAGGAAACACTCTGTGGATGTTTGTGAGCTTTTGATGATCCACCAAAGGGAATTTGTGTGTGCTGGAGTGTTTTGAACGGGTGTTTGTGTCTCCTTGTGTCTCTCAGGAACGATTCAATACGCTCCACCTGAGTGGTTCTGCAGACAGCGCTACCATGCGGGTCCAGCTACGGTGTGGTCAGTAGGAGTGACCCTCTTCAACATCCTGTGCAACCGTTTCCCCTTCGGAGGCTCACTGAGGGTCACGTCCAGGAGCAAACTGACCTTCCCCATAACTCTGTCAACAGGTAAGAGACTCACTGAGAGATCAGCAGAAGTGTGTTGCTCTGTGTTTCTGAACACGGTGTTGTGTGTATCAGAGTGCCGTCAGCTGATTGGCTGGTGTCTCAGTCCAGCGGCGGCTGATCGGCCCAGTTTGGACGATATTGAGCGCCATCCCTGGTTACAGTGAACAGGTGGCCAGTGACTTGACACTTATCTGAGTGACGCACTCATGGCTTTGATTGTGTTGTTAGGGTCAGTCTGGATTAATGATCTTAATGATTTGTGTAGGGTGAGCAGGAGTCACACAGGAAGTGCAGAGAACTGCTTCCTGATCACCTGCAGAATGAGGAGTGGGCATTAACTAATGGCCGACTCACCCAGGGCCGGGGCCCCTTTACCTGCACTAAGCCACCGCTTCAGATGACTTTAATGTTAATAGGGATTTTAATAATAAACGTATTATTTAGACAAATAATCCAGGTGTAGTGTCTTCCTAGAGTGACTGGAGAGAGCTCAAATAAAGGGAGAGTTCACACAGAAATCCAGATTTACTCACTGTTTACTCAAACTCAAGCGGTTTCAAATCTTTAAGAGTTTCTTGTTTTCTGTTTTGCACAAAATAAAATGTTTTGAAGAAGCTGAAAACCTGTAACCGTTGACTTTCATAGTAGCAAAAACAAACAAGTCAATGGGTACAGCTTTTCAGCTTTCTTCAAAATATCTTCTTTTGTATTGAACAGAATAAAGAAACTCAAACAGGTTTGGAGCAAGTGAAAGGGAGTTAATGATACAGAATTGTTATTTTGGGGTGAACTATCCATTTAAGTCCTCTTAATGGAGGTTTTCATAATGGTTTTAAAATGAAGATTGCAGCTCTACTGACTGAGGCTAAAGGTGTGATGAAATATTGTTTAGGTTGTTATTCCATTAAATGATCTTATAGATCTATAATATATAAGTTTTGGTGGAGTTGTTGTGCTAATTTGCCCACAGTAGCAGTAAAACCTCTGAAATGGTGTACACATCTGATGATCTAAGACCTAGTTTTTTTTTTTTTTTTTAATATTAGGAATGTTCAGAGCTCTGTTAGATGTACATTTGCATTCTACATTTCTGTTGTTGTAGCAGGGAGATGTTTGTTTTGTGGCATGAAAAGAGTTTAAGAACTTCAGTTTTAGCTGGGAGTACTACTGCATGTGCACTCATGTGATTGGCTTAAATTATATTAAACTGAGAGACCCAGAAACAACACTGAGTCCTTTCTGAGACTGCAAGTCAAATATTCTGAAAAAACATTTAACCTTTCTTAAATGTATTTACATTTTTAATCATTAAAAACTTACAATATTAGAATCAATGAAAATAGGATGCAGATGCCAGAGCATTGTCATTAACACTCTTTTGAATCATATTTCTACTAAAGAACAATGACTTTAGTTTACTCTACTTTACGTTCTGCTGGTTCTGACATTAGAATAAATACTGAAGTCTGAACTCTGAGCTCTTTCATTCCTCTGCCTTTGTTGCTGTGTGGAAGGCATGTCTAATGAAGCATAACACACTTCATCACCAGCCTGAAACAGAATATATTTAATTAAAATAATAAACAAATAAATAAACAAATAAATATATTACATTATATTGATGTAATTTATGTTGCTGCTAAACTATTGCGAATAATATATATTAAAATTATTCTCAAAATGTGCTCATACCTCAACATGTCTGTTCTCAGCCCCAGAACCTACAGAAACTTAACAAAAGATAAGAATAATTTACATTTTATAATTTGAGATATACATTTTTTACGAATAGCTGATGACCTGTAGTTTTCTTCTGACAGAGGCAGTAGACGCAGATGGAGAAGAGGAGAACACACACCGAACACACACTGAACAGCAGATTCCAGCAGAAAACACACTCTGATGCAGGTGATGTGGAGGTGCTGTTAAACCGTTCAGCACAAGGAGACTCTTGCTCTAAAATGAACAACAGGCCATTATTAAAGTGAATGTATATTTAGTTATTATATTCATTTTATTTTATCTTTACTGATTACACACAATAATGAAAAATATGAGTTTAACACGGATGAATTTGCTAAAAGTGGTTGGAAAATCAGAAGTTAAAGATTCTAATATTAAATACACTATAAATCATCGTTTTACAAAATATAATGAATTTGCTGTTAATTTAATTTAAAGTATTATTAGAAACTAAGATACACTTTAAAAACTAATTATAAACACTTATTTTACTAATATACTTTATTAAATATACATTATTTCTGTATTTGAAGTCGGACTATGGCTGCAGGATTGTGTTGCTTAATTATTTGCAGGACTTTGCATTAATTATCGATAAAATTCATTCAAATAATATTAAAATAATAAAACTTTAGGTAAACATGTAAACTTATCATTAAAGCACAGCTATATTATGAAGAGATAAACTATAATTGACACTAATATTAGCTGTAATCCATAATCATCAAAATGAACTGAAATAAACACTTGAAATAAATTATTCTGAGTGTAATGAATGATTAAATAATTCCCCAGCACGGTTTAATTGAGAAAATATCTTTTGCAACACATTTTTAAACATAATATGTTAAATAAATAATCTCTAATAACTCATGACACAATATTTTAATAGTTATTTTACAAGACACTAGTATTCAGCCTAAAGTGCAGTTTAAAGGCTTAACTGGGTTAATTAGGTTAACTAAAGTTAGTTTAATTTAGGCAAATCATAGGACAACAGTGTTTGGTTCTGTAGCCAAAAAAAAAAAAAAAAAAAAAATCTTACAAGGCTTATAATAATGTGCTTAATTTTTTGTTTGTTTTTATCAAAAACTGTTTTCACTTCAGCCAAACTGAAAAATAAACTTCACTGATCTGATAAGATCTCTTAGATCATTGTCACAAAGCACAGATTTTCCATTAGGCTTTCTTTAGTCTTGTGTATTGATTAATGTGCGCGAGGGCAACTATTGGTTTAATGAGGGAGTTTTCTGAGAGATGAAGAGCTGTAAAGTGAGTGTTCAATTACAAAAAGAAATGATTATACAAACTCAGTGTTTCCTTTTATTAACATTGACAAAACCGTATTACTTTAAAAGAAATATGATTATCAAAGCATGTCTTAGAGCGAATAAGCCCAACAGGATTTTTATGTAATCGCCTTTTTTCTTAATTTATATATAAAATAAATGTTTAATTAGTAATCACTACTGATGGGTTAGATTTTCAATATTCAATATTGTTCAGTAATTATTCAGCAGTAATTAAACATCTCTGTAGCATTTCCTCCTGCAGACGTGGTTCAGTCAGTTCAGCACTGCAGGGAGCTGTCCATTGTGCTGAATTTACTCCACACTAAACTCTCTTCTCACATTAAATTCATTATAAGTGTCTGATCAGTGAACAGGATACTGTCATTTCTCAACAACTAAAGAAGGTCTAATGTAGAAATTAAAAGATAATAGGAAATACAAACAGATGGATTTGCTTTATGAAAGGAAATTTTGTTGAATGATTATTACAATTTGGTTTAAATGTTGAATGTTGCACTCGTACATGTTGCATTGCTCTGCTCTTCTTTAAATAAATCAAACCTCAGTTGTGTGCTGTTTACACTGTCTCTGATTCATGGCACGTATTTTAATAAATCAGACTTTTGCATCTTCAGTTTCTCATCAATTCCAAGTCATGGAAATAATAAAAGCAACATTTACAGCTGCAGCGTGCACTAAATATTTTCTTACTTTTCTTATTTCTGTTTTTGTCTAACCACAGTTTATCTCATGCATTGATGTGTGTATTGAGCATGCAAGATCACCAGCTTGACCACAAACAGTTTTAGGACATTCAGTCTGTTGCATGCCTGAATAAAAACACTTGTGGTTTGTGTTCTCGCCTAGCTTTTCACAGCAACTGCAACATCACTGCACCAGGAGCGTCAGTAAAGACCAAGAAGAAGAAGAAGAAACACAGCACTGAGCCTGAAAGCTGATGTACTGTAGGCTGCAAGCAGAATCCTTTATGACCCAGAGATAATTTAATATAAAAAATGTATATCAATATAATAAATGAATCATATTATTAATCATATTATTCATTTTATAAATAATTTTTAACTACATTCAAAAAATAAAAACCTGTTTACCTTTAATATGTTTACTTTAATTAACTTTGATATATTTTTACTACTGTAAACTGGTGTAAAAAATCAGGCCGCTTCAATGCAGACTTTGCACCCTTAACAGAAGTTCAGAAGCTCAAATCACATCAAATCATCAAACGTAATGACAAACGAGAGATGTTTTTCTGAATTTAATAAAATCTTTTTTTGTTTTAATATAAATGAACAAGGCTAGATAGGTTAGGAAAATTCTAGCAAACGTATAAGCTAATTGTCATTACAGACCTTGTGACAGTAATTTAGCTTATTGAAAGCTGTATATTAGTGATGAAAACAGCTATTTAGATTCATACAAACAGAAATAATGTATTTATAAACTTGCACCTTTCTGCTGTGGACGCCATCTTGTGGTCAGACGCGGGAACTCATTCGGCAGGTGAACTTTTGTGCTTTCTAGCCCTTGAGTGAACACAAAGTCCCTTAAAAAGCCTTCACATACATCCAAAATAACGAAAACATTAATAAAACTTAATAATATTAAATCTGAAAACAAGAGCAAATGAAAAGTACATAAATATGACTGAACCATGTAGCCTACCAGATGATGATACAAACGGCCATGTGATCTGAAATCGTGCGTAGACCATAGACTGTAAAATATAGGCATAGACATAGAAATTGTGAACGATTTAATTTACTTTCTATTATTTACAATAATAAACTTTTTTTAAAACTTATATTCCTAATATCTACGTGAGCAGTTAGCACTGTACGTGTAATTAACCAGCATGCACTTACATTGCTTGGGCCACTAATAGAAAATATATGAGTTAATTTTATTATTTTAATTTAATTAATTCCTAAATAGCTGTACATTTTACAAAGTCAAACCTTGTCAAACCAATCTTGCTCATTTAGCATTATTATTACAGTTTCGTGAATTATAAATTAATTGATTTAAACTTCATTATTATTATTATTATTATTATTACTATTATTATTATAATAACTATGTTATTTATTATTATTAATTATTTATTATTTATATGTTGAGATGAGATGAATCGTTTACTCACGTGATTCAGATTGGCGATTCAAATTGTGGTTGCTATAGCAACGCGTGTTATGATTTGACTCCATATATAAACACCTAGACTCGCCGCTATCTGTTGATTGAGGAGAGGCGAATTTCTGAGACATTTGCTGAGGATTACTGTGCTGATACTGCGATTCTTCAAGGAGACCAGAGAATTTCTGACAGAAGACTTTTATTTTACAAGGAGATCGACGCTCAGAGCTGAAATTATTCCTTTTGACACGTTTTGTTGCTCTTTTGTTGTGTTTATTTTGATTTTGATCTTGTTTTTATTGACATTTTTATTGATATTTGATCTTTGTTCTTGTTTTCAGGTTTGCTGGAGTTTGGAGGAGTTTGTCAGATGGGTGAAAACCGCAGTGAGTGTTTTAGTTTTTATTTGTTTATGATCAATCATGACATGATGTTGTGTAATGTTTGGGGAAATGTGATGTAAATAAACTGGTACAAATGAACCCATTTCAACACAACTGTTCCCCGATATAAGTGATCAGATGTCTTTTATTCTCTGTAGATGCAGCTACTAAAGTTAATTGTTGATTAATTCTTATAATCTTATAATAAACGTGATATGTTGTTGTTGTTGTTGTCGTTGTCTCAGGCCGCTCCAGATCCAGGAGTTCTGCTTTCATCCAGGCAGCTGTTCAGGACGTCAGGACACATGATGGTGATGGTGAAACCCAGACCGTGAGCCAAGAGCTTGATGGATTTCTCGCACCTCTGCCTTCCCTGTTGGCCAAATCTGTGTCCACAGATCAGGGTAACAGGAAGAGGAAGCGGCAGAGCGGCAGCCAGCAAACACCAGAAGATGAACGTCCGTCCACCTCATCTAGAAGAGCTCTCAAACGCTCTCGCAGAGGTCAGAATGGCTTTTTGAAGAAGTGATGATGATGTTTCAGTAATGCTCTTTTACAGTTTTCTCTACTGCTGCATGTTTTCTTTGAACACACATTTCTACTGCTCCTCTGTGTTGCAGACGCGTATGCAAAGGGCCCACTGCTGGGAGACGGTGGATTTGGCTCTGTGTTTGCTGGGATGCGCAGGTCTGATGGACTGCCAGTAAGTCGTTTTCTCCGCTCTTCATTCAAACAGCCTTTAGAAATCCTGATCTCAGTAAATGTGATGTGTGAGGATCAGGCAGGTGTGATTTATTATGCTTTATCTGTCTACAGGTCGCCATCAAGTATGTGTCTAAAGAGCGGACACAGAGGAGACTGAGAGTTGTGAGTTCAGTGTGAACCTGTTGTTGTGTTTGATGTTTCATTGGGTTCTGAATCCAATCGTTTGTCCTGCAGGAAGGTCAGGGTCGGCTGCCGCTGGAGGTGGCACTGATGACCCGCGTCAATTCAGCTCCTGCCTGCCCCAACGTCCTGCAGCTGCTAGACTGGTTTGACCGTCCCAGACGCTACATCCTGATCCTGGAGCGTCCGGATCCCTGCCAAGACCTCCAGAGCTTCTGTGAGGAGAACGACTGTCTGGATGAGGGTCTGGCCAAGAAAGTGCTGGTGCAGCTGATCGCGGCTCTGAAACACTGCGAGAGCCGCGGAGTCCTGCACCGGGACGTCAAGCCAGAGAACCTGCTGATCTCCACAGAGTCCCAGGACATCAAGCTGCTGGACTTCGGCTGTGGAGATCTGCTCAAGCGCTCGGCCTACAAATACTTCGCAGGTGGGTTTGTGTTGCAGAAGGAAACACTCTGTGGATGTTTGTGAGCTTTTGATGATCCACCAAAGGGAATTTGTGTGTGCTGGAGTGTTTTGAACGGGTGTTTGTGTCTCCTTGTGTCTCTCAGGAACGATTCAATACGCTCCACCTGAGTGGTTCTGCAGACAGCGCTACCATGCGGGTCCAGCTACGGTGTGGTCAGTAGGAGTGACCCTCTTCAACATCCTGTGCAACCGTTTCCCCTTCGGAGGCTCACTGAGGGTCACGTCCAGGAGCAAACTGACCTTCCCCATAACTCTGTCAACAGGTAAGAGACTCACTGAGAGATCAGCAGAAGTGTGTTGCTCTGTGTTTCTGAACACGGTGTTGTGTGTATCAGAGTGCCGTCAGCTGATTGGCTGGTGTCTCAGTCCAGCGGCGGCTGATCGGCCCAGTTTGGACGATATTGAGCGCCATCCCTGGTTACAGTGAACAGGTGGCCAGTGACTTGACACTTATCTGAGTGACGCACTCATGGCTTTGATTGTGTTGTTAGGGTCAGTCTGGATTAATGATCTTAATGATTTGTGTAGGGTGAGCAGGAGTCACACAGGAAGTGCAGAGAACTGCTTCCTGATCACCTGCAGAATGAGGAGTGGGCATTAACTAATGGCCGACTCACCCAGGGCCGGGGCCCCTTTACCTGCACTAAGCCACCGCTTCAGATGACTTTAATGTTAATAGGGATTTTAATAATAAACGTATTATTTAGACAAATAATCCAGGTGTAGTGTCTTCCTAGAGTGACTGGAGAGAGCTCAAATAAAGGGAGAGTTCACACAGAAATCCAGATTTACTCACTGTTTACTCAAACTCAAGCGGTTTCAAATCTTTAAGAGTTTCTTGTTTTCTGTTTTGCACAAAATAAAATGTTTTGAAGAAGCTGAAAACCTGTAACCGTTGACTTTCATAGTAGCAAAAACAAACAAGTCAATGGGTACAGCTTTTCAGCTTTCTTCAAAATATCTTCTTTTGTATTGAACAGAATAAAGAAACTCAAACAGGTTTGGAGCAAGTGAAAGGGAGTTAATGATACAGAATTGTTATTTTGGGGTGAACTATCCATTTAAGTCCTCTTAATGGAGGTTTTCATAATGGTTTTAAAATGAAGATTGCAGCTCTACTGACTGAGGCTAAAGGTGTGATGAAATATTGTTTAGGTTGTTATTCCATTAAATGATCTTATAGATCTATAATATATAAGTTTTGGTGGAGTTGTTGTGCTAATTTGCCCACAGTAGCAGTAAAACCTCTGAAATGGTGTACACATCTGATGATCTAAGACCTAGTTTTTTTTTTTTTTTTTTAATATTAGGAATGTTCAGAGCTCTGTTAGATGTACATTTGCATTCTACATTTCTGTTGTTGTAGCAGGGAGATGTTTGTTTTGTGGCATGAAAAGAGTTTAAGAACTTCAGTTTTAGCTGGGAGTACTACTGCATGTGCACTCATGTGATTGGCTTAAATTATATTAAACTGAGAGACCCAGAAACAACACTGAGTCCTTTCTGAGACTGCAAGTCAAATATTCTGAAAAAACATTTAACCTTTCTTAAATGTATTTACATTTTTAATCATTAAAAACTTACAATATTAGAATCAATGAAAATAGGATGCAGATGCCAGAGCATTGTCATTAACACTCTTTTGAATCATATTTCTACTAAAGAACAATGACTTTAGTTTACTCTACTTTACATTCTGCTGGTTCTGACATTAGAATAAATACTGAAGTCTGAACTCTGAGCTCTTTCATTCCTCTGCCTTTGTTGCTGTGTGGAAGGCATGTCTAATGAAGCATAACACACTTCATCACCAGCCTGAAACAGAATATATTTAATTAAAATAATAAACAAATAAATAAACAAATAAATATATTACATTATATTGATGTAATTTATGTTGCTGCTAAACTATTGCGAATAATATATATTAAAATTATTCTCAAAATGTGCTCATACCTCAACATGTCTGTTCTCAGCCCCAGAACCTACAGAAACTTAACAAAAGATAAGAATAATTTACATTTTATAATTTGAGATATACATTTTTTACGAATAGCTGATGACCTGTAGTTTTCTTCTGACAGAGGCAGTAGACGCAGATGGAGAAGAGGAGAACACACACCGAACACACACTGAACAGCAGATTCCAGCAGAAAACACACTCTGATGCAGGTGATGTGGAGGTGCTGTTAAACCGTTCAGCACAAGGAGACTCTTGCTCTAAAATGAACAACAGGCCATTATTAAAGTGAATGTATATTTAGTTATTATATTCATTTTATTTTATCTTTACTGATTACACACAATAATGAAAAATATGAGTTTAACACGGATGAATTTGCTAAAAGTGGTTGGAAAATCAGAAGTTAAAGATTCTAATATTAAATACACTATAAATCATCGTTTTACAAAATATAATGAATTTGCTGTTAATTTAATTTAAAGTATTATTAGAAACTAAGATACACTTTAAAAACTAATTATAAACACTTATTTTACTAATATACTTTATTAAATATACATTATTTCTGTATTTGAAGTCGGACTATGGCTGCAGGATTGTGTTGCTTAATTATTTGCAGGACTTTGCATTAATTATCGATAAAATTCATTCAAATAATATTAAAATAATAAAACTTTAGGTAAACATGTAAACTTATCATTAAAGCACAGCTATATTATGAAGAGATAAACTATAATTGACACTAATATTAGCTGTAATCCATAATCATCAAAATGAACTGAAATAAACACTTGAAATAAATTATTCTGAGTGTAATGAATGATTAAATAATTCCCCAGCACGGTTTAATTGAGAAAATATCTTTTGCAACACATTTTTAAACATAATATGTTAAATAAATAATCTCTAATAACTCATGACACAATATTTTAATAGTTATTTTACAAGACACTAGTATTCAGCCTAAAGTGCAGTTTAAAGGCTTAACTGGGTTAATTAGGTTAACTAAAGTTAGTTTAATTTAGGCAAATCATAGGACAACAGTGTTTGGTTCTGTAGCCAAAAAAAAAAAAAAAAAAAAATCTTACAAGGCTTATAATAATGTGCTTAATTTTTTGTTTGTTTTTATCAAAAACTGTTTTCACTTCAGCCAAACTGAAAAATAAACTTCACTGATCTGATAAGATCTCTTAGATCATTGTCACAAAGCACAGATTTTCCATTAGGCTTTCTTTAGTCTTGTGTATTGATTAATGTGCGCGAGGGCAACTATTGGTTTAATGAGGGAGTTTTCTGAGAGATGAAGAGCTGTAAAGTGAGTGTTCAATTACAAAAAGAAATGATTATACAAACTCAGTGTTTCCTTTTATTAACATTGACAAAACCGTATTACTTTAAAAGAAATATGATTATCAAAGCATGTCTTAGAGCGAATAAGCCCAACAGGATTTTTATGTAATCGCCTTTTTTCTTAATTTATATATAAAATAAATGTTTAATTAGTAATCACTACTGATGGGTTAGATTTTCAATATTCAATATTGTTCAGTAATTATTCAGCAGTAATTGAACATCTCTGTAGCATTTCCTCCTGCAGATGTGGTTCAGTCAGTTCAGCACTGCAGGGAGCTGTCCATTGTGCTGAATTTACTCCACACTAAACTCTCTTCTCACATTAAATTCATTATAAGTGTCTGATCAGTGAACAGGATACTGTCATTTCTCAACAACTAAAGAAGGTCTAATGTAGAAATTAAAAGATAATAGGAAATACAAACAGATGGATTTGCTTTATGAAAGGAAATTTTGTTGAATGATTGTTACAATTTGGTTTAAATGTTGAATGTTGCACTCGTACATGTTGCATTGCTCTGCTCTTCTTTAAATAAATCAAACCTCAGTTGTGTGCTGTTTACACTGTCTCTGATTCATGGCACGTATTTTAATAAATTAGACTTTTGCATCTTCAGTTTCTCATCAATTCCAAGTCATGAAAATAATAAAAGCAACATTTACAGCTGCAGCGTGCACTAAATATTTTCTTACTCTTCTTATTTCTGTTTTTGTCTAACCACAGTTTATCTCATGCATTGATGTGTGTATTGAGCATGCAAGATCACCAGCTTGACCACAAACAGTTTTAGGACATTCAGTCTGTTGCATGCCTGAATAAAAACACTTGTGGTTTGTGTTCTCGCCTAGCTTTTCACAGCAACTGCAACATCACTGCACCAGGAGCGTCAGTAAAGACCAAGAAGAAGAAGAAGAAACACAGCACTGAGCCTGAAAGCTGATGTACTGTAGGCTGCAAGCAGAATCCTTTATGACCCAGAGATAATTTAATATAAAAAATGTATATCAATATAATAAATGAATCATATTATTAATCATATTATTCATTTTATAAATAATTTTTAACTACATTCAAAAAATAAAAACCTGTTTACCTTTAATATGTTTACTTTAATTAACTTTGATATATTTTTACTACTGTAAACTGGTGTAAAAAATCAGGCCGCTTCAATGCAGACTTTGCACCCTTAACAGAAGTTCAGAAGCTCAAATCACATCAAATCATCAAACGTAATGACAAACGAGAGATGTTTTTCTGAATTTAATACAATCTTTTTTTGTTTTAATATAAATGAACAAGGCTAGATCGGTTAGGAAAATTCTAGCAAATGTACAAGCTAATTGTCATTACAGACCTTGTGATAGTAATTTAGCTTATTGAAAGCTGTATATTAGTGATGAAAACAGCTA